GCTTTGTTGGGTTTTAGTGGGTAGTACTGGCCTTGCCGGTGAGTCCGACACCTCGTGCGTAAATGCATTTCCCAACGTTAAAAAACTCTTCAACGGCTAATAATAGATACTTTGAGTTTGGGCTTATTTTGTTTCATTTGACAAGCCTAACACGTTAGAATTCTTACTTTGCTACTACTGTCTACACTAAAAAGGGAAAAATAAAAACTTTTTAACAAAAAAATAAAAACCGACTTCAAACAAAAGCACTAAAAAGTAAAAAAAAAATGATTGGTAGTTTTCATTTACTATACATACCTAATCAAATATTTTCGAAGTCGGTGTGCTTTGGCTAAGTAATTAAAGCCCTACCTATTAAATACATACCTAATCAAATATTTTTGAAAACGGTGCCAGCCCATACAAAGCAACAACTATTCGATTCTGTAAAATGCTCGAGTATCTATTTTCAATTCTATGGCCTGTGAACAATCACAGATTTACTGTCTTCAAACTCATCGATACTGTCCCTTACTAAATCCTTGCAGCTATAAAAACGACGCTTTTATTGCCGTAGTGTAATTTGTACATATTTTACAAGCAATAAAACTGATTTACTAGAAAAATTACGCACATTAACCTATTTTAGAATTAAGAATAATTTAAAAGAGTAATTAACACATTTTTTAGCCTTAATCCTTTTAACACACAGTTCTATTTGACTATATAAATAACGCTATAATCTGTAGGGTCCCCTTATATCATAAAGAGCAGGCCTCAGAAGGGTACCAATAGAGATAATTTTACTGCATTTATTCCACCATATGCGTAACAATCCTCTTGACCCACACATAATATTTATATTTTATGGTGAAGTGGTCTAAGAAAATTCGACCTTCATTTTTGCTTATCTGTACTAAAATTATAATGTTTTATATTATAGATCTTTCTCTTGTTAAGAGATTAAAATGTGGATTTGAAAACTATGACGTTATTTGTACCCTCTCTGGTGACAATATCAATTTTTAAAGTAGATTCTTATGAAAAATACATATTGATGAATTAATACACTTTATATTCAGTAGTGTTACCCTTGCGGGGTAACCAGTGCAAACACCTCTTTCTTTGCTTGCCTACTATTGCGCTAGAGGGTTGATTCCCGTAGGAGGCAAATCGTCACACAAAATAATCATGAGCCCATAAAAATAAATTTTACGTTAGATCCTTTAAAAAAAGTTTGGTATTTCGATCCAAGATGAAATATCTTTACACAGCGGAAAAAATAATGAAGATCAATATGATTTCTAAACAATAAGAACATACATACATAAATCTGTAAAGAAAATAAATATATAATATATTAAATACAAAGCAAGTATTACTTCGGTTATAGACTACTTGACTCAATTTTAGCCCTGAGACAGCACTTGTAATGATGCGCAGACGATCCAGGAATACCCGACGACGAATGACTCACCATTTGTTATGTCCTTTTGCAAGAAACAAACTAATGTCCACCGACAAAGCCTGCATAGCAAAGCTTATTTATAAATCGGATATCACATGCTTGAGAACTTTAATCAATTCAAACCTCTTGTTAATGGCTTCAAAGTGTGCCAGTTGAGCACAGAAATTTTAATCTCATCTTATTATCACAGCTTATATTATTTAATTGATGTCATATCAGCTTTCAACTACACGACTGCGTAGTATAGTAATTTTCTCACACTAAGAATACTATATTTAAACTTCTGAAAAAATCATAATGTGCCAAATTTCAGTGAGGTCCTATTTTTCATTAATCTAACAATTTACCAACGACTATTACTCCTAACTAACTAGTAACTTGGAGTCTATATATTCTAGCCACTGAATTGAAATCCGTCCAAACATTTTTGAGCAATTTGCAATAAATAGTCCGAAAGAAAAAGATGTTTATAGTTTTTAATACATTAAAAACATCTTTTCAGGCTCTGTTACAAATGTTACTTTTACAAAATATACATCACTTAATTGATCTATGTAATATGATAATGTGTATCTTGGCTTCTGCCTATTTATACCTACCTAAGTCAATACCAGCCTAACCAAGCTAAAATAATCCCGTACTAGGTAAATGTAATGCCACTCAAGAAGCCTGTTAGATTGAAATTTAATCAGATATACTGAGTAAATTGTGTTAAGAAAGTTAAAAACTGGTACATAGTATATTTTACATTCAGAAATTAATTTCTATTGTATTCATTTCGTCTTTTCTTACTTTTTACGCCAACGGGCATTGGGCAAATTTGTATGGAGTAATGACCCTGTGCAGCCACTTATTATCAAACTTATCTTTATACTTTATAGGCAGGTCTGGATTTCTTCAGACCTTGGAAAACCATTATTTCTGATAGATGTGCAGAAATATACCTATGTATATAATATATTGAAAAATAATAAAATCATGCGTAGGGTTCCGCACCCGAAGGGTGCCAACAAAACCCTATTATTAAGCCTCTGCTGTCCGTCTGTTCTATTGCCGCTATAAAAACAAATAAAAAAAAACAAGAAAAAAAAATTTAAGGTTCGTAATCGATCATCGATTTAAACATACTGCATACATACATAGAGTAAAAGTCATATTCATAAAAAGTATATGTACGATAGTAGGGAACCCTTCGTGTGCGCATTCGACTCGTACTTGACCTATTTAAAATATTAAAAAGCACTCTTCCTTTGTTGACATTTATGATTACTGTTCCGCTCCTTTGGGTAGTAGCATGATTATACATAGTTTATAAGCCTTCTTCAATAAACGGGAGTTTTTCAAATCGGATTAGTAATTCCTGAGATTAGCGCGTACAAACAAACAAACAGACAGACAAATTCTTTATAATATTAGTATAGATTTATTATTGTATTTGGGCATACACTGAATACGTTACGTTAATATTTACGAAAAGAAATAAAAAAACCTATAGGGTCAACTAGCTATAATAGCTATAAAATATAGGGTCGTAAATCTATTCCAAGTGACTTGAACGAATTAGCCACGATTCGTTCATGCCAAGTGATAAAGAACAAAATGTTATTATCGTAATTATTATAGTATAGGGTATATTAAAATTAAAACGTACCTAGGGACGCACCCGAGAGAAGCGAGGATAAGTCGCTAGTCCACAATATAAATGTTCGGATTCGGAACTATGGAGCTTTTTTGGAGTTTTAAAAAAGATGTAACGTTTCCTTTAATAATAATAAATATTTTAAATGAATTTGAAGTTATGCCTATGTACTGAATTAATATTTATCAAATGGTAGAACTTGAATTTCGATATAATAACGTGAACTTTCAAAGTTATAAAGGCAAACAAAATGTCTCGATTGGTTTCTAACACAATTACTGACTAGGTAGATCAATCTATTTTGTTTATCGTAGTATAGAAAACCGGTTAAAATAGTAAAGCATATATGTACATTGTACATCTATACCTTCCTAAAGTCGTGACCACATGTAACCTAGCCAACGGCTGTGAATACAAGTTGCAATATCTGTATCAGGTGTTATTTTTGTTTCACTTTAGCCTTTGCACACAGTGAAGTATGGCAATTAATTTACTCTTATTTCTGTTTGTAAAACAATAAATATGATTATATATTTTATGTATGACAGTTTATTTCAAATGTATCTTATTGCAAAAAATACATTTGTTCACAAATTATAAATGTTGATATTCATATTATTTACCCACACGCTTAAAAAATAATTCCTAACTTTTCATGAAATAGGACTAACAAAACGAAACAATAAAGTTAAATTTTTGGTTGGATCAAGTTTTTTAATTAAGATAAATAATAATAGATATATTATGTTACATATAATATACCTACTTATGACGCTTTTTAAAGAGTGTCCTTGAGTGAGAGGCACATTGGTATTTACTGCATCGAAAACGTTCCTATGAATTCTATCTACATTGCATCAGATTAAAATTGAATTCCTTTTAAAAATACTGAAAGAAATTATAATATTAAACACACAGCAACAATTTAACTGTCAAAATTCAGATTAATGAAGTTATCGAGATAACGATAAATCCTTAGTATTTTGAGACAATTTATAAAATTTCATTTTTCAAATATTATATTGCATATTGCACTAGAATTTTAGATTGAATCTTGAATTTCGATTTTATATAGCCTTTGATATCTATTTGGTATGAAACCCACCCACGACGATGCGTGCATCGGCCTGGTCCGTAGGGAACCAAGGCCGTCTCTGACAATGGGATCCACTTGCGCATTTCTTATTGCGGTCCAATATTATTCAATCTCACTATCTGTTTTATATGGAACTAGTTTCCTGCGGCCATTCTGCACTCGAGAATGCCATTCACTGAGGAATTGAATTCTCAACTTTATTATTCTATCCTTTCACAGTTCATTCTATCATTTAAATTAGACTTTCTATCCTAATTTTGAATGAGAAATAAATGTTATATTACTAATATTTGTATTTCAAACTAATACATTTACTACTGTAGTTTTTTACTGAAATAAATAATATACTAATATTTTTTTATACTCGCTGAAGATAATTTACATTACTATACCCGTAATGTAATTTACGACGACAACCTCAAGATTGAGTAGTTTTCGATCATTAATTGTATACTGTGTTACGAGTTTTATACATTATTTTTTTTATACATTATTTTATATACTATTTTTACGTTTATTACATTTAAGATTTGAAATATATACTGTATATGAAATTATTACCTGAAATAGTAGCGACTTACCCTCGCTCCACTAGGATGCTTCCCTGGATGCCTAACAGTAGCCTGTGTGCTACTCCTGATAGGATATTATGACCTAACTGTGTAGTAAATTTCATCCAAATCCGTCTAGTCGTTTCAGCTTGAAAAATAACAACCATACATACACTCATACAACTTCTGCGATTATGTATAACAGTAGTCCGATTTTCGCCATTATATTTATAAAGGTTGTAGCTAAATGTTTACTTATTGTTACAGCGGAGAGCAGCCTGTCTGATTTTGCAAAGCGCAAAGTTCATTACACGGCAAGTAATCCCCTCAAAAAGGAACTATTCACTGCAGACACCAGGTATAACATACATATTATATTTAATGAAATAAATGATGAACTGTAAATTTGCCTCAAGGTACGTTGGACTTATTTAGAAAATTAAGATTTTCATAATTCTTAAGATAATATTGCAATATTTCAGACCCGCAAGCTTAAGAAACCTGTACGAAAAGGCAACAACCGATCGACTTTCAGCTTCAATACTTGACCAATTAAGAAGAGATTCTCAACATTCCCAGTATCTTCTTTGCACACCCGTACTAAGTTCCAAACGAAGAAGGATACATCAAAAGGTCGACGTCGACATCGAGACTCATATTGTAAGCCAATTTATCATTCCTTTAACATTTAGGTTTAACGTATAACAATTTAGATTGACGTTACAATAAAATGAAGAGAACACTAACATTGCAGTTAATATATAAACAATCATCATTAATATACATACTACACAATGTATATCCATATCAATCAAAAGCGGAACAGATCATTATAAGCACATCTTAAACATAATTAATTAAAAATGTTTAAGTAATAAATATTATAATCTAATTAAAATTCTAAATACAAGCCTATTCTTATTATATTATTATTATTTATAAGCCTATTCTTACCGTGTAGACTTCTGTGTGCACTTATAGAGTATAGACCATTGGGACCTTGACGTATTATTAATAGCTATTTTTTTAATTTATTATTTTTAAACCGTAATAATTACAACTTTACCCTCTGATATAATCTTAAATGCAAAATTAATAACTTACAATCTCGTCTCGAATTGTTTTGTTCAAAACAATTAACAGATTCGATATCTTTAATTAAATCCCATTAATCTGTCAATTATAGCCGTCAGTGGTAGAACATTTACGGAAATGGACGTCAAAGGAAGCTGTGGGAGATGTGACAGCTATGCCGGACGCGTCGATGCGAATCGCAAGCAGCGTTACTTTAACGCCAGATGAACTCTCCGAGTGTGGGTCTGGTGATGATGAGCCCATAGATCATCGGCTACCAAGTCCTGAGGAACAATTACGTGTTATTGCCTCTAAGTAAGTAATATGATAATAAATTAAAATAGTAAGACAGCACAAAGAAGCTTAAAATATATTAGTTATTTATTTATTATTAGTTTTTTGTAAAAAATGAGCGCTTAGGAAAATCGATTTCAAGCTTTTACCAAAGTATGACATCTCATAAATTTCAAAATAATATTACCTACTTACTCAAATTAGTAAGATTAACAACGTGGACTAAATATTATCTTAAAACTATGTTTTATTTACAAATATTCATACTTCATAGACAGCTATTTATATTTTTCAGATTTCCACCAGAAGTAGTCGCTATAGATACGTCAGGCAAATTCTTCGATAGAATGTGCAGTTCACGGAAATCTCTACACGTAGAAACAATAAGTGGTGAAACGGACACGGTGAAGCGTCGTACGCGCACGAGGAAACCACGGGGTAAAAGACGAAACACCATTTCGGGCACTGATCAGAAAGAGCTTAGAGAGGCTATAGCTGGGTAAGCTTATAGAATGCACTGTACACTTCAGATTACATTATCTATTAAACCATAATAAATCTTAGATAGAAATTTTTCGAATGATAGATAATGAAATCTCAAGAAATGAATTAACGTTAGTAACCAAAAGCACAGTATCGTGTGGCTTTAAAATCGTTTAATATTCAGCACATTTTAACCTGTCGATGATATCGTGCTTCTGTGAATAAAATATTTTTTATTTGTTTCTGGTTGTCGTTATTCACTTACGCTTCCTAATAACGAAGTAAAGATCAAGATTATAAACATCTTTTGCACTTAAACACTAATAGTGTCATTTTCATTAGCTTTAAATTTAATGAAATCTTTGAAAAATTTCACTGTTACGAGACTAAGTGAGATTTTTCGGGGATTCATATGCCTCTAGCGTGTGACTAATGCTTTGCTTGGTTTGTTTTATCATAGTGATACAACAAATGCTGTGGCTTCTGAAGAGATTGAAGATAATACAGTCGTCCGGTCCCGGTCAAGTGACTTGCTTAAGAAAAGTCCCACTGATAATAATGCTAAGAAAAGTCATTTTAATAGTTTAAAACAATGGGGAAAGAACAGATTAAAAATGATTGGTAGATCACCTAGTGCTAGCAGAGACAGTTTTAAAGAATCTAAAATAGACAAAAGTAACGAATCTAAGTTATCTGTACGCTTAGACGATGAAGCAATTCAGGAGACGGTTGTAATGCGTAAGAAACGTCCAGATGAAGAGGACAGAAGAACACATTTGAGATGCGCTTCTTACTCTTCGTCCGAAAAGAGTATAGGAGTTCCGAGCAGTATTCAAAATACAGCAACAATTAGCGCTGGAGTGCGATTGCGTGGGTCTTCAACACAAAGAAGGTCAAGAAGATCTGGTGTTGGGAAAGATGAACCACACTCGTCCAGCGGTAATTGGTCTGCGAGTTCGGAATCAGGGAGAACAAGTATTGGTTCCGAAATTACTACCACAACTGTTCCACCTAAAAGTACAACGTCTGCTGCCACATCTAATAATTCCCTTAATTTTCATCACGGCCCACCGAGTTCGATCATTAGTAGACGAAGATTCCTAAATACTTCAGGATCAGGAAGCGTTACTAGTGAAGGCACTCTTACACCAGATATAATTCATGACTTACACGAGGACTTAGAAACTAGTTCAGAATTTTCTTGCGACACAGAAGGATATTATACTTCGTTCCATATGGACTCAGGTCTTAAAACTTTAAAGGAAGAAGAAATTTCGCCTAGCACCCCTTTGCACTCAACTATTGCTTTGTCAAATTCGTCAAATAGTCAAAGTTTATCAGCGGAAAATGAATACGAACTTTTCGGTAAAGGCTCAACAAGCACGACTACGAGCTCGGCCGGTACAGTTTGCACAACTCTTATGGCAGCGGATAGCGATAGATCCTTGGTGATTGGTCCTACTGTACCTGAACGTAAAAGTTCACTAGCAATAATAAATCGCAGTCGTGGAAGTATTAATTCCAATTTAGAACGTGCAACATCATTTCCAAAGTCACCTTTCAATAGTTTAAGATATAATAACTTAAGGGCATATACAGATAAACCAGTATCAAGCTTTACAATATCCGATACAAATACTTCAACCACAGTAACTATATCAAAGAATGTTGGAACTCAAAGAGAAATCACTGCTGTTGTAGAAGTACACGCAGAGACTGATATCGAAAGTGCTAAAAAGAGTACAGGCACGAGTTCACCAGACTCAGGACATAACACTTCTAGCTCACCTATAGAAGACTCAGTTTCAAGCGCTCATGGAAAAAATAGTCTTTCTGAACAAGATTATTCAGAATCATCCGATCTAGAAGGAACTGACCGAATAGAAAGAATAAGATACAAAACAACTATAAACAGTTCCCGAATACCTTCTATGTGTGTCATCACTCCTACGAACTCTGACGATGAAAGTGTAACTAGCAATAAGAGTGTACACAAAAAAAACACTGATAGAATCGATCAATCTTTAGCGAAGTCAGAGAGCCGACCAAAGCTAGATTTACCAAATGAAGAAAGACACAAAGATATTAGAACCTCCGATGCAGGAAAAACCTGTAGAACTCAGAATCAAATAAAGGCTTCGCTACATCCATTTAACAATTTTATGTGTCGACTTAAAGGAGTGCTTCCGAATAAGCTATCTAATAAGAAATCACCAGCTCCGAAAGACGTTGATATGTTAGAAGATTTTTATGACTCAGGCGATTATGTAACAATTGCAGATGTTAAGAATAATAATCAAAAAGTATCATTAAATCACGGTACTTACGCCAACAATGATATCGTAAAAAAGAATTTACAAGCTGTTTTGTCGGGCAAACTATCTGAAACGGAATACGTTTCTTTAAATGAACTACCTAATTGCTTAAATGAAAGCAAAGATTATTTGGAACATGGCACCAATGAAAGACAGTCAGGCGTATTGGATAATATACAGAGAAAAGGAGCGAAGGTTACTTTAGACTCCCAAGGCCAAGTTATATACTCATCTGACACGTTGAAAAGAAGAAAAGGAGCTCACACTACATTTGAACCCGGCCCATTCGTTCAGGAAATATGTCCTACGACTTCCGTTATCCAACGAGAAAGCGCGGATGTTGTGAAAATCACAGATGAAACTGACTTCCCGTACGCACCTCCGAGCAAACCAACATCGCCTCAATTAGGAAAAATGATAATTAAAGCACCAATCGACCCTCGAGGCGTCGTAACTACGGAATTTGTGACGCTCCCCATTAAGCCTAGTACCATCATATCCGCTACTCCTGTTACTGCCGCACCTGTTTCAACTAGCACAAAATCTGAAACAGTTACTAAATCAAGTCAAGACCTACCTAGAGTAGTTGAAGTTATAACGAGAACGGGTGCATACGTTAACATTCACGATGCCGAAGGTGTCAGCTTATCCCCAACGAAAGATGATATTGCAGGTAAGAATATTCCCAAAACCTCGAAAGTCATCAATGACTCACATTTCGAAAATTCAAATAAGTCTCTCGACGAAATAATTCCTTTCGTACCTAATTTTCAAACGTCAATTATGCTTAAAAAGTGCAAGGACTTTAACAAGGCAGGCGATAAAGTTGCAGAAGTTATGAAAATGTTCAAAAGTAATGTTGATGAAAATGTAGAACATATCGAAAGCATCAACAAGTCCCTTAATACTAAAATTAAACGTAGCGATAGTTATAAACTAGCCAACTCTCCATTAATGCCCATAAAAAAGCTCCTTAAGTTCGATACTTTTGCAAATAACGCAAAAAAAGTAAATTCATTTGAAATGATCCAAGCTGAAATCGCAGCAGACTTACTTCGCGAGCAAATCAATTACCCACCAACAGTGTCTCCTAAGTTAGGTCACAAGGAAACTTTTGACGATTTTAGTAAATGCGAATGCATTAATGATAATGAGAGTTTCGTTGACAATAAATTCGAATCAGAATTATCTGCCTTGGCTTTAAGTCCTCTAAGTACTCCTTTTCCAAAGCGACATACGATTGCTTTAGTTCCGGATAATAGGGATAGGGCTATAGATATGTTATCAGCTATACTAGACTCTGACCCTGACACCGTCTGCGTGTTGCACTCGCCGCCCGCCTGTCCTTTGCCACCCGGCAAAGTTACAGTTCCCTTTGACGGATCTTTGCATAGGGCTAGAATACTATCAATCTCAGAATCAGAATATGGCACTGAAATTTGGTAATATTTATCTGTTATTGTTATTATCAATACAATAGTTTTCATTCTGAAAAGCGATTACTTCTAGTTTAAGTAATGGAAAATATTTATGTATATTTAAGGACTAAGTGGAGAATCCCCCACTCTTTAGTAATCGTTCATCAGATGCGACCGCTATAAGATTATTCGTATTTGTTTTATCTTACGGATTTTACTTATTAAATTCAAATATCATTATAACCTGTTACCTTCTTTTTATTACGCTTATTTAATAAATCTCGTAAATAAATAAAATTATTCTACAAGTGAATTTTAACATATTATAATATTAAATGTTTGATAGAATTATTGTTAATATTTTAACTTTATGAATTTAGATATTTTTTAAAGATAAAAATAGAGTATGATTTAAGAGTTTTTAATGAAACTTATAGGTATATCCGTCCGTGTTAGGATTTAGTAGTCTTCCTTGCCTTAGCTATTTATCTCTGTGATAGATTTTGTTTTAAAATGATTTTTAATTCCATGCTCGAATTATGTTTTCCGTTTGATATTTTAAAAGCAATTTTGTATTATAACAAGGATGCATGGTGGCTTATTTCACCTGAGTGTGCACAGCTTACGATTAGTTTATAATTTTGTATGAAGTGCATGGTGTGATATTCTTTTGTCCATATGTGTTTGTAAATAATATTATACAAATATTGTCAATTAACGCACTTATTTCATTTATTTCACTCCTATGCTCTCACCTTTCACCTCACCTCATGTACCACCGAGCACCGTTTAACAGTTTGCGAATGAAGTTCTATTGCGAGCAAAGTACATTAAGTTACACTAATTTTAAATTTTGATACTAGAACCTGCACCCAATAGAACTTAATTCCTATTTAAACAAATAAACAAGTTTGAAAAATACATAATTGTACAGGCATAAAAATAAGAAAGGTTCAACGAACTAGTGTCTATATAATACCTAATTTTATCTCTTATTTCATTCATAACCATAAGTACACTAATTTATAATGAAATAAATACTGGCACAGAAATATTCAAAGGTGTAAGCCCCGTTGACCGTAAATTAATGTTATTTTTTTATTAAAATTACTGATCATAACATCGCTTTGCACAACGGTCGAGATTGCTTCCAATGGTTGCGACTTTGTTAAGGCCAAGTTCTTCAAAGGTAAAGTTATTATTGCTTTTTGGCATGATCTTTCTTTGCATGTATATTGTACACTTATTATTGAAATACTAACAAACTAAAACCAGTGGTCAAACTTTTTACTATATCAATTTATTCATTAATTATACATATTTGTATATTTGCTTTTAACGCGCTTTTAAACGGTGGGTACATTTTAATTGCGTTACTCAATCAAATATAGCTTTAATATACACATATGAAAAAAAGTTTAAATATATATATTCGGTACATACATATAGTTCACTAATAATTGCGGCATTGGAAGCATATATAATGCTCGTGTTCTATATGTAATAATAAATAAATCGATAGAATATCATGTTGCAAGTAACACCAAGTACCATATTTTTGTGATTTTTTTATAAACCTTGATATATGTTACGATATTCTCACTCAAATATTATATTATTCTGTTATCTGTGAAAATAGAAGCAGTCAGATAAAAAAGGTTTAATTAGTGAATTCCTACTAAAATAGTCAATCAATAGAGAATAAATACCATGCACTTATCTGATATAATTATAGATTTCTTTTTTATTATCTCATATTAAATTTAAGTATTTACAGTTAAGTAGTAACGGCTTGTACATGCTTTGTTTGCATGCACTTATATTTTAAGATATTGACAATTCTGATTTACCTATATTATGTATTGGTTAGCCTTTTACTTTATAGAGGGCAGGGCATTATTTAACTTTATTTATGCAATATTACAAAATGTAAAAGGTGAACAGGAAAAAAGAATAAGGAATAAGAGAAATAAGCACTTAAATTGCCTGCTTCTACCATACATATACATACATATATTATGCAAATAAATTATATCGCCTGTTTAGATAATGTTATGCTAGCCCACATATACTCTTAATAATAATTAAAATAAGAAGCAAGTAAAACAAACACCATTATTTTTACATATAACTTTAATTATTATTAACAATACCATGTATGTATTTCAGACTATCGACTATCCAACGCTGACAAACCTTCCAATCACCAACCTCGGGTTCGAGAGCCGACAGTTGATTTAAACCATTTCAATCCAACAGTCCATCGTTACCATACGGCTCATCTTCGCGGCAGACATGGAGTAATAAATTATGATAATGAAACAGAAAATATACACTTAAAATTTTGGACCTTACCTAAAGCCTCACCCTCAACGTATACTGATAAACAAGTAATAATAGAAGAAAAAACTCTATATAGCCCTACAACTACGCATTTCAATTCACAGACACAAGACTACACCCCGCAAGCCGAAGAATCTATAAGAATATCACCAATAGATCCCCGTACCTCAGCAACATTCAAATCATCTACACCAACAAACAAAGAAACGATGATCAATTTAAATTCAAAGCTTTTATCCCCAGTTAAATCGTCCATGACGAATGAAGAATTATACGCCGTCATTCATAAAAGTAAAAAGAAACTCAACATTAAAGAGACTCCTGAAAGAGCTGAATCTCCAGCGCTAAGTACAATAAACATGTCGCCAGTCATTTCCGAACCTTCGCTTTCTAAAAGAAGTCAACGCTACCCAGAAACCGGTTATTTAGACGGTAAGAATAGGCCCATGATGCCAGATAGACAAACATCAAGCCCTCTAGGAGTCTCAAACGTTAAAAAACAGGAAACTTGTGCCGACCGATATGGACCGTTACAACAAACTTCTAGATTGGATTTCAAAAAATTACTACTACAACATAGTGTTAAGCTTAATACGCTTAATGTTCAAAATAAATCAACCAAGCTGTCTGCTGTAGAACAACTTAAAATTTCTAAAGAAAAAAATCAAATCCCACAGACGCCTCCAGGAAATAGGTCACAAATTAATATTCTAGATTTAAGTGGATCACCAAAAACATACAATCACAGGAAAACTGCTAAATCAAATAATCAACCGCTGTCACCGGGACGAACCAGCGGGCTGAAAGATCACAAAACCACAACTAAAATACTTTTATCACCTAAATCACAATGGCGTTTTGCAAGTCCTAGATCTGATGTACTCTCTACTCCTATACCCGAAGCGAACAACGAAGATGAAATATCGAACAGTTCTGGAGAAAAATGCGAAATATCTCCTAAAAGCCCACCGTCGAATACAGTTCCTATTATGACTAATCAACATTTCGGAGCACGAAGATCTCTCATACCGCTATATGAGCACAAACTGGATGAAGAACGGGACACTTCTTCCTTACATCACGGCGTTTTTCCTATTAATTCGGATTTCTCAAATTCACATAGTTTATCTAGATCAGAAATCACACAAGCAAAAAGAGCTGAGTTTTTTAAAAGCCCTCATGAAACGCCACCATCACTATCGTCCTTTAAAAATTCTTCAAATTCAGGATTAGGTTTAAGAAATAAAACATCTCCAGAAAAAGAGAAATCCTCGCCAAGTACTTTAGAAACGGCTTTATGATAGCATCTAAATAGCTAGTAACATTAAGATGAGTTAAAGCCGGTGCTTTTTGCGTTTGTTCATTTGTAAATAATGGTATGAAATTAAAGAAGCTTTAATCTAGTCTTTTCTTGCTTAGCGTGCCATTGATTTGGCAACAATAATATACATCCAGTGTTCAAATTACTTATGGTCTGTTTTTGTTTTACATTTATTTTGTATTCATTTTAATAGCTCTTTTGGGGCCAATCTTAGTTTTAAAAATTAAGATAAGCGTAGTTACAAATAATATGTAAGTATTTATTGTATACACTTAGTAGTTTTGATTTTTGGGTTTTTAAGTTATTAAAAAATTTAATTAAACGTTTTGAACAATAACAAAGTATTTGTATTATTTTTTCTGTATATCATGGTCCAGTGAACAAGAACAACATTTACATACCATTATTATTTGCGAAATAATTGGATAAAATCAATGCGAAAATAAATACTATAAAATATTTTTTTTACCCCGTGTGAAGTGTTTTTTCTTTTAAAGTTATTGGGTAGCGCCACCTTTTATCTTTTAACTAACGACTTACCCTCGCTTAATTGTTCGGACTGATCCCGGCTGCTGAATTTCATCATCGGACATCGCTCCAAAATATTAAATTCCATCCACACCACCTCGATGTCCAGCGTTCCACAACAGTGCGATTTCTAAGGCATTTTCTGCCCCGCACAACCACTCTGTGGAACCAGCTATCGCCGGCGGTCTTTCCGTTACGGAACCGCTACGACCTTGCCACCTTCAAGAAGAGAGCGTATTCTTCCTTAAAGGCCGGCAACGCATCTGCAAGCCCTGTGGTGTTGCAGATGTCCATGGGCGGCGGTGATAACTTTCCATCAGGTGAGCCTCCTGCCCGTTTGCCCCCTTAGTCCCATAAATAAAAATATAAATTTCTCAGAGATGAGATATTTTAACGCAATAAAAAGTATCCTATATGTTGACCCGGATTACCAGCTATCATCATAGTACCTAAATTTCGTCAAAATCTGTCCGGTTTTCTCGCGATGCAGATGCGGTCACAGACAGACAGACAAAAATTCTAAAAACTATAGATCCGGCCTCTGTATCGATATTAATGACTAATTCAATAAGATTTTCCAAAAAATATTTAATATCAGATTCGACTCATGCGACGGACGGTATTACCTACAGGCTACATACTAAAAATGTTATTACGTTAAAGGCCCCCACAGGTCAATTTACATGGGCATAGTGATAAAACCGATTTCAAATACATATTTATTTATTTTAATGGCTTACTAAATTTATATAAAATATGAATTTAACATAATAGTTCGCTATTTTTATAAATTTAATTTTTAAGTATGCACAGCTTTATATGGAAACTAGCATTGCCCGCGGCTCCGCCCGCGTTCAGATGACCAAAAACTAAATTCTTAGGTGTTACATATTAGTATACTCTTACATTGCAGTTTTTGTATTTTTCCTCAGAAATAAGATATTTTCCCGCGGTAAAAAGTATCCTAGGATCGCGCGCTACATCGCCCGGTTTATATAGCTTGAGCAGGCGGTCGAGCGATGCGGGGCAGAGGGGATGGACTCGCCGTAGGCATCTCAATGCTCGCCAAGCATTAAAAATGTTTCGCTACTAATTACTTCTAACAACGATATCTCAAAAACTATTCATCTGATTGATTTAGTGTAAAGAGCAATTTTAATCTGCATTAAATGACTAAGCTAACTAAAATATTCATTTGGATAAGGATTAATACCGAACTAAAGAAAATAACTTTGAAAATAACGTAATGTTTTTAATTAAAAATGTTAACATAAAAGTGGTTATTGTAAGTCAACCGTAAGAGATAGAGATATGCTATCGCGGACTTTTTTGTAGCATTTTTATAGATTTTGAATTCTCTAGTACATTACTTAACTGTATCTTTGCTAGTTTACGCGGCGTTCGCGTGGAAAGTTCCCATTTGGCGAGATTTTTTGCGACCTCTTCAACATTTGTCGCCGTATTTCAGCTAATTTACATAAAAGCATAATAAATTATATACCTAAACCTTCCTCAAGAATTACTCTTTCTATTGTTGAAAACCGTATAAAAATCCGTTCAGTAGTTTTCGAGTTTATCGCGTACAGACAGACAGGAGGACAGACAGGAGGACAGAAAGACGCGGCCGGGGGACTTATTTTTATAATAAGTATAGATAGATATATCGTTTAAATATAATGGGCGTAGTTCAATTATGTATATCTTTATAAATTATAGTCTATGTATAAGTTATATTACTGTAAAACTACATCAAAATCGGTTCAGTCGTTTTTGTGTGAAAGAGTAACAAACGTACATTCTTACAAATTTATAACTTAAAATATATGTAATTAAAATAAATCGTTGATACAGCGTGATTGAGCGTGCTACTTTGTATGCCGGCACCCTCTACTCCGTTGGGCATCCATTCTATACCAAATGTAACCATAAACCAGCCCTCTGCCACTTCAGCTTGCTTATTCTATGAGCTATATCGATATCTGATTCTGTACATGACCAACATTATTTAGTTACAGGATATATTTGGAAAACTAGGTACTAAATTAGTATAGCTACAATTGTAGGACAATTCTGAATTGTCCAAGTACTTAGTAAAATAATAGGATGCCCTAAAAAGATTTCATTAATATTAATTGAAAACATTTGCTTCTGTAATTTAAAGTCAATTAAAACTTTTTACACAATTATTCGCTGACACTATAAGTCTAATATAGTGACACCTTAAAGGCTGTGACGTACCTATGTTCCTTTGGTATAATAATTACTTTACTCTTTGGGCGTATGTTTACTTACAGGAAGGATCTCATCCTAAAAAAACTTATGATAAGTAATACTTATGCATGAAGTGTGATTCAATTGTAAGTTCTACTAGTTCAATGAGCGCTAAAGACTGCTCAATAAAGCTACGAGTTCTTATTTTGGTAGTAAATACAGCAAATCTGATAAATGAACGAGCCACACTGACATTAGGAATATCTCATGCCTTAATTGGACCAACAGCAATATTTACGACTTATGTTTTTATAGGCATCTTTGTGATTGGAGCTATACGTTGTCATTATGCCTCTTGCTTTCTTCAGATTTATGCCCTCGTTGCGTGCTGCTCTGTGGAAATGTGTCTAGCTTTTATCGTCTTCACCGAATTAAAAACCATTACTTTATTAGCCAAGCAAAATGGAGCGCTTGTACTAGATGGAGTACTACCAATGATATGTGCATTACTACTGCTTGTAGATCTCACGGGAATTATATTTTCTAATCGGCCAGAAATAGCACCCCCTACATCTACACCACATTCAGGATCTTCACAGGTAGAAATTGAACAAATACGTTAGCTGTAATTAAATTAACCTAATTCCGTAATACATTTTTGCTACATCCATAAAATAAAATGATTTCTAGATCTACCAAGAAATAAATATCCTATTGCTGCTACCTACTTGCTATTTTATTCCGTTTATTTAGAAAAATATTAGTCTATGCAATTACCTTTTTTTAACAACACGAAAATAAATAATAAATAACGTAAAGACTCTATCAGGCATTCCGTCCGTGAGGTCATTGTATTATAACAAGTTTTTAGGGTATGCATATGGGTGGATAACTTATCCAGAATCTTGTAGTGACTTTATCGAAGCTCAACACCGTACCTGAACTCTAATCCCATTATTGGATAGTAATCTATACTTATATACTAATATTGTAAAGAGGTAAAGTTTGTGAGGTTGTAGAGGGTAATCTCTAGATTTACCTACTGAACCGATTTAGATGAAATTTTGTAAGAAGATAGTTTGAGACCCTGGGAAGGACATAGGATACTTTTTATCCCGGAAATCATCCCTTAAGGGGGTCAAAATGGGGATGAAAGTTTGTATTGGGAAGCATGCCAGGGACGAACCCGAGCGAAGCGAGGGTGAGTCACTAGTGTTACTATAAAGTAACTTCAATTTGTTTTCATTTATTAACTGTACGATGCGCTTACTATGCAGGTACTCTTACGTACTAACGTAAATCATATAAGGTACTTAATTTATAATTATTAAAATTTTTGTGTCCGTCTGTTTGTTTACACGCAACTTAAAATGGCTTGAAGATTTTTTTTTATTTTTACGCTACAATTGCTAAGTAGTATACTCGCTGCTATGCTTTCCATAGCAATTATATATAAATAAACAACACAAGTGGAGTCGCGGCCAAAAGCCAGTCCAAAACTGTAGTATCCATACTATCCAATACCTTATATTATAAATGTGAAAGTGTGTTTGTTTGTCTTTCTTTCACATCGAAATGGAGGCTTGCTTTTTGGTGTAAAGATAGTTGGAGAGCTGGAAAGTGACATAGGCTACTTTTTATTTCGGGAGATCATCTCATTCTCACCGGAAAATACGTTATATTAAACCCAAAAAAAATATTTATGATCAGAATTCCTTAAAACTGGATATTAATGCTCTTCAATACAGTTAAATAAACACGTGTTTTAGCATTTTTCGAAATTCATCCTATATGGGGGTATAATAGGGGATGAAAGATTGTATGAAACCTACTCTTTATACAGTTTTTTTCATATCACTGTACAGTTACTTTGTAGTTTTTAATGCCTAAAAGAATATAGGTAAAATATACATGAGTAAATAAAAAAATATATAATGTTGAAATAACAATTGATAAATTTACTTTTTTGCAAGTGATGAGAAAAGCTGCCCTTTGGTAAAACTAGAAAACCTTTAAAACCCTTCAAAACCCCTATGTCTTATATCTTATGTCTGGTCCATAAACCCATAAAGATAAAGTGTTTGCAATATAAAAAAGCCAAAACAACAAATATTTTGGCATCCTATTGGCAATATACATGCAAACATTCTTGCCCTGATTTGTAATCACATAGACTAGGCCTAAAAGGACTGCAGTCCTGGGTTTCTTACAGAAGAAAGTAGGTGTTAAATTTAATAAGTAGGTGTTCCATTAATTTGAGGAAAAACAACTAATTCTTATGAAATATTATTAAGGGCCTCCACTCATTGATTGTCCCCCGGCCCCCTACACTTCTAGTTCTGACCCTGTCTTTAACCGTCTTACCGTTTCATTTACAGGGGTTTGAACATATATCTATAGAAGCTGGCACAAGCCATTTTTTTTTCAGCACCCTATGATACCGATTTGATTTTAATACAAAAATTATTTATATTAAAACTATATTATCACATAATTATTTTTAATGATTATAATCAAGTCACAATTTTTACCTTGTATGTCTATCTTATATCTCAGAAATATGTCACTTTAGAGCACCATACTGATAATTTATTAAGTGACTGTAGGTTGGCAATGTTCTGTAATCTATCCCCTTTAAATATCATAACTTTTAATTATATCTATTTTTTATTTTAATATAAATAAATGAAACAATCTAGATATTATTTACATTTTTATTAATTTGACAAAATGCACTTCACATTCATATAAAATTATTTAACCTATACTTATGTATCAGTCACTTATTTTACTTATTCACTGTAAAAATGTACACTACTACTATTTATTCATAGGAGGTCCGTTCATTAAGGGTGGTCGCATTTGACCCATGGGACCCATAGGTCCCATTGGACCCATCAATGGGCCCATCATTGGTGGTCTCATTCCCATCATAGGAGGCATTGGTCCATGCGGTCCCATCATCATAGGTGGAGCCATAGGTCCCCCAGGACCCATCGACGGTGGTGGGATCATGCCAGGTGGTCCACCAGGAGTAGGAACGGGTGGTCTTGGCCCACCTGGGCCCATTACAGAGGGATCCCATGGAGGTGGTATTGCTGCTCCTTTATTTCCGAATGGATTTTGTGCAATTTTACCAGCTTTAAATGCGGCCGTTGTGGCATCAATGAGATGCTGAGCTTGTTCCTCCATCCATTTTTGATAGTAAAATTTAACATTGTCTTTATGTTTTCTTCCAGTACAATGAGTCTTTCTCACACTAGGAGAGTCATGGGTTAAATATGTGTCACAATAATCGCAATAATATTTAGGCATATTGACTTTTTTTTAAAATAACGCTAAAGAACTAACACCGATCTACACGAAAATTCACAAATATAAATGTCACTGTCAATTGTCAAATGTCAATTTCATCCTTACGCTTGACGGATACATTAAACTGTCCCCGTTTTCCAATTACAGAGCATAATAGCACACTTTAGCGCACAAACACGAACAATAAGATATTTTAAGGTTTAACCTACGAAATAATATAAAAATGAAATTTTGAACAATTTTAAATCCGCTAAGAATGTTTGGCGAAATTCAGAGAAGCAAACAGAAACAAAACATAACGATTTAGCTCTCAAAGCAACGTGTATGATCATAATTTGAAGATTTGTGCGTTTATTACAAGGTGTTGATTAGGTAAAATAAAACTATTATAAGACTTTGTCTTGGTTTATTAGTATACAAATGTAGCTGTATAAGTACATATTCGCGCAGACAGTATTTAGCTTTGATTTTATATGGGACACGTTATCTTGTAGTATTGTTGATCGAAGGTGGGCCCACATTAGTTTTCCTTATTAAATGTCAGTTTATAAATTGTCAAAATGTCCTATATGTATCTACTAACCATGGATGACAAATAAAACTAGTTGCTACTAACTTATTATCTAGTGTTACTAGCATGGATGAAAAATAAAGGTTACTAGTAGTGTATATAGGTTATCTGTGGAATAAGAGAGTGTGCCCAAACTATAGGGGGCAGCACTTCTGTTGAAAATAGAGCACCTGGCGTTAAACAAGTAAAACATATTGATGTAAGCAGTGTAATAAATAATATTAGTTATGCCTAAATAATACAAAAAATAATAATAATTGTTTTTTTACTGAAATTTTTTTCGGTAAAAAAACAAATTCAATTCGATTTGAATCAGTTTTGACCTCTAACCCGATCATTTTGATCGGATTAGAGGTCAAAACGATAAAAAAGGCCAAAAGTTATTTGAATCAGGCCATGTTTTAAATGTAATTGAAGCAGACGATGAAAATAAGCTATCAGTCGTAACCTGCACAGTTTTCCTTGTCGCTCAAACCAGTGTTTCTAATGTTTACAGTGTGACACTTATTCTAAGTATTAAAAACTATTTTTATGAATTAACTGCATGATATTGAAAATAGTAGAAATCTGGTAATATTTAAAAATTTTGAAAAGTATTTTGAACTTTGACAGAATAAAATTTAAAAAACAAAAGCTACAGATGTTTAAAAATTTCAAAGTACAAATAATATTATTTTACAATCTGTAATCACTTGAAATAAAGAAATCTGATTATTATTATTTTCAATATTAATGCGTTTATGCGTTTTAGTTTTATACTGCGTTTTATATTTTAACATTCAACGAATACAGCAAGATACTTTTGATGAAGACATCACAAACACTTATTTTAATTAACAAAAAATAATTAAAAACGCTGATGCAAAACTAATACTGTTTACCATCAATTTGTTTCTGTTTTTTCCCAGCAGATGGCATAATTGTCAATCGTCATCTTTCTCGCTCCCTATTGGTCATAGAGTATATTGCTGCTATTGGTATTTATTTGGTTACTGGTACGCATGTGCCATGTTGTTATTATTCGAGACTAAAGTATTTTTTGGTTATGCCACAAATGTGTATTTCTTTTCTGATTTTTTGAATTAATTTATATAATCGTTTAGTCAAGATAATAAGGAAACTAAACAAGAAAGATGCCGGATATGAAATACATTTTAGTTACTGGCGGTGTTATTAGTGGCGTTGGAAAAGGTGTCATTGCAAGTTCTTTTGGCACGATTCTCAAAAGCTGCGGAATTGATGTTACTTCAATTAAAATCGATCCTTATATTAATATAGACGCTGGCACGTTTTCACCATATGAACATGGTAAGATTTTTCCATCGTTCCCTACGATTAATGCACTAATATGTTTATTTATGTATCGTCTATTTTTAATTTCTAGGTGAAGTTTATGTACTTGATGACGGCGGAGAAGTAGACCTTGATCTTGGCAACTATGAACGCTTTTTAGATATAACTCTCCATAGGGATAATAATATTACAACAGGCAAAATATATCAACAAGTCATTGAACGAGAGCGACGAGGGGACTACCTGGGTAAGACAGTACAAGGTATGTAAAATTATTCTAATTCAAAGTACAAATAAAGAAAAATATATATTGTTCATAGTATTTATTATACATGTTGCATTTTTATTGTTGTAGTGATCCCACATATTACTGATGCTATTCAAGAATGGGTACAGAGAGTTGCACATATACCAGTAACTCCAGATAATTCTCCACCAAGAGTTTGTATAGTAGAGTTGGGTGGTACCATTGGTGATATAGAAGGAATGTCATTTGTTGAAGCATTTAGACAATTTCAATTTAGGGTTAAAAGAGAGAACTTTTGCTGTGCTCATGTATCTTTGATACCAATGGTACGTATTGTTTATATAATGAATAATATATAAATAAGGAGTGTGGCGGACGTGAGGAGAAAATAATAAGGCTTTAATAATAAGCGTTTATTGAAGTGCGTATTGCACTTGCGAGACCAAGCGAGAGACTGTCGAATCAATACATATTCGATCTATAATCTAATGTAATATCTATACTTATATATTATGCTCGTTACAAATCATATTACCTCATGTTACAATAGGTACAATATTCCCCCCTTTTTAAAAAAATAAGTAAAAAATAATATATAAAAGTTATTAAGAAAAATGAATACATTTTAACGCAAAAAAAAAAAAAATGTATAAAATTATATTCTAAACATAAAATATAGTTTGCAAAAAAAATATATATTATTAATACCTAAAAATATCATAATTACATGCTATTACAGTTTCCTTACATCTATCACAAATTATTTTTTCGAACATGAATTTTTTTACCTATTCAGCATAATTATTCACTGCACTACTCGAAATTATGCGTTTAACATATCAGTATACACTTGCACTTTTTTACTAAGACGTACACTGGCACTTAAAACGTTATACTGCAGCAGTTAAATCTGGCATGCTCTGCATTTCCTTCCTTATAGTCTCTCTAAATTTCCTTCGGCAATATCTGTATATTCCAAACGTGATTACCATAAGGATTATTAAAAATAATAAGCCGAAATATATATCAACTTTTAACTCAGAAATTTGCGAAGTATTATTTCCTCCCATTTGGGCGATTATAACTTCTTCCTTCTTTTCTTCTTTGCTCTGATTATAACCCATTATAATTATTGGCAATATAATTAGAGAATGTGAATGTGTATAGCTTCACCAAGATGCAGATTTTAAATAAATTTATCTCGGAATCTTACTACTGGCTTGCTGATTCGGCCGGATCGCGTTACTTTATTATTTACATGTGTCTCCTTGTTTGGAATTTCGATACTAGTGCTATCCCGCGTATCAAACTCTTCATTATTATTTAATAAAAATGCTGGCTTTAATCTATCAATAGAAACAGTAGATTCTTTGTCTGCCATTAATATTTTAAAATGTTTTTCTTTACGGTCTAATACTTTGTACGGTCCTGAATATGGTGGATTTAAGGACTTACATAATTTATCGCACCGTAAAAATACATGAGAGCATTTTTGCAATTCAGGGTGAACAAATATATTTTTCTGTGTTTTCTCTCGTTTGGGTACTGAACAAATATTACTTATATGTTCTCTCAGTTGCTTTAAAAATGTCTCGCTATCGGAATTTAGTGGCGTTGTAGGCTCAAAAAAATCTCCGGGTAGCTTAATTGGACTGCCATAAACCATCTCCGCTGCACTGGTTTGCGTACAATCTTTTAGGCTTGCTCTTAAGCCTAGTAGTACAGTTGGTAACTCCTGAACCCAATTATTGTTTCCTCTAGTCATTAACGATGCCTTAAGAGATCGATGCCAACGTTCGACAGCACCGTTTGCCTGTGGATGGTACGCAGTTGTTCGAGCTTTCATAATACCAAGGCGCTTAGATAATTGATTGATAAGATTCGACTCAAACTGTCTTCCTTGGTCAGTCGTAATTCGTAAAGGACAACCAAAACGTGAAATCCATCCTGAATATATTTTCTCTGCAACAGCCTCAGCTGTTATGTCTCTTAAGGGAAAAGCTTCCGGCCAACCCGTGGCTCGGTCTAACATCGTAATTAAATATCTGTATCCTTTGTAAAGTGGTAATGGACCAACAATATCAATATGTATATGTTCAAAACGATTGCTTGTGGGAAATTTACCAAAAGGTGATATTGTATGCCTATGTATTTTACATTTCTGACAATCTATACATGCTCGAGCCCAGTTAGTAACATCTTTGTTCATAGAATGCCAAAAGAATTTATCGCATATCATCTTTCTAGTTGATCTTATACTCGGATGACTCAATCCATGTACGGCGTTGAAAGCCTGCACTCGGAATTCTTTAGTCAAATATGGTCGTGCGAATTGTTTTGAAACTTCACAGTAAATTGATTCTTGACTGTTATGAAGTTGAAACTTTTTAAAACATAAATTTTTAGATTTTAATAAAACTTGTAATTCTTTATCTTTTTCCTGAGCTTCGCTAAGAGCATTGTAGTCGATGTATGATGGCATGTTAATTTCAGAAATTCGTGATAACGTATCAGCAACAATATTTTGAGATCCACTAATGTGTTCAATATTCGAACAAAATTGCATTATAAAATCGAAATGTCTTAATCGACGCGGTGTATCGCTGTCTGTATAAGAATTTTTTTTCAAAGCATAAACGAGTGGTTTATGATCTGTGTAGACTGTTAAGGGGCGTCCCTCAATCAAATATCTGAAATGCTTTATAGCCATATAGATAGCAAGTAATTCTCTATCGAAAGCACTATATCGCGTTTGCGCTTCGCTCAGCTTAGTGGAGAAAAATCCTAAAGGCTTCCATGTGTTGCCTTCACGTTGCTGTAATACTGCGCCAATGCAAGTCTTAGACGCATCCGTCATAAGGGCTATATTCGCGTCTGCAGCTGGGTGTGATAGTGTAACGGCGCTGATTAGGCTCTCCTTACACTGTTCAAATGCCGCAATTGACTCATCTGTCCACCTTACTTCTGTCTTGTCATTTTTTCTAGAGTTATGTAAAAATATATTTAATTTTGACTGAATCTCTGCTGCTTGAGGAAGATGTCTTCTGTAAAAATTAATCATACCTAAAAAACGTCTCAGTTCCTCGATTGTTTTAGGCCTAGGAAAATTAATTATAGAGCTAACTCGTTGTTCTAAGGGTTTAATACCATCTTTCGAAACGTGGAATCCCAGAAACTCTATTTCGTTCTGCCCAAAATTGCATTTTGAAGTGTTAATAGTTAAGCCATATTTATTAAATCGCTCAAATACTAGTCTGAGGTGTTCCTTATGTTCGGATTCAGATTTCGACGCTACTATTACATCGTCGATATATACAAAAATAAAATTAAGATTTTGAAGTACGACGTTATTTAAAAATCTCTGAAATGTTTGAGCTGCATTTCTTAGCCCAAACGTCATCCTTGGGAACTCAAAAGACCGAATGGCGTAGTGATGGCTGTCTTCTCTATGTCTTCACTATTGATGGGAATGAAATGATAGGCACGTGTTATATCGATCTTCGAAAATATCTTTTTACCCGACAGTAAATATGTAAAATCTTGTAAGCGTGGAATCGGATACCTGTCAGGCTTAGTGATGGCATTTAATTGCCTGTAATCACCACATGGTCTAATACCACCATCCTTTTTCGGGACTACGTGGAGTGGACTTGCCCAACAGCTCTTCGATGGTCTACATATGCCTACGTCTTGCATGATTTCAAATTCCGATTTTACCTTCTGATATTTGTCCGGAGCTAAAGGTCTGGGTCGCGCAAATACAGGAGGTCCTGTAGTCTCAATATAATGAACAACAGAGTGTCTTGGTGTATCTTTGAAACAAATAGGTTTCGTTATATCGGGATACTCTAACATTAAGTCGTAATATTTATTATTTATATCCAACGTAGTTATAGATGACTCATCGTGTTGCACTATCGATGTTATAGTATCTATATTTGTTATTTGATCAATAAGTCGACGACGATATAAATCTACTATAAGCTTATGATAGGTTAAAAAGTCTGCGCCTAATATTGGCTGTTTAACGTCCGCTAACACAAAAGTCCACCGAAAAGGTCGGCGTAAATTTAAATTTAACACTAACGATTTAACACCATATGTCTTTATTTCACTGCCATTAGCTGCATAAAGTTTATATTTATCACTAACTACATTGTCATAGAGTCGTTTTTTGTACGGTAACACTGAAATATTTGCACCTGTGTCCACAAGAAAACGTAAACCACTTTTGCAGTCGGTTACGCATAAACGGTGGAACGGCGATATGGTGCAGACATCCACCCTTGGCTGCACCTTGTCTAGTTTTCCGGCTGCTCCTTCCAAGCACATGGCTCAACACATTTCTTTGCTTTAATGCCGAAACGGTGATGATAGAAACATAGCCATTTCGATGATTCGAACCTGCGGCGTCGTTGTTCGGATACTGAACGTCCGCGTGATGTAGTACGTCGCCTCCAATTACATCGAGTACTTCGATACCTTGGTCTCGATCTCTCAAGTTCCATGACCTTCACACTTAACTTGGCTATTTGCGACATAAGAAATGATGTATCATCCGATTTTTCAGCTTGACAATTTACTTCAGCAACATGTAAAGGTCTCGTGGTCTCCATAATTTTGTCAGCGATAGCTGCAAGGTTATCTAGATCCTTTACCTCGCTAACTGCCAAAACAGCTCGAACTGACGTGGGTAAATGTCCTTGCCACATGATACACAGCGTTTCATCAGGTATCTTATTACGAGCCAAATCCCGCATTCGCCTAAGAAGCTGAGAAGGCTTCTGATCGCCAAGTTCCATTTCCCCCAGCAACTTCTGGAACTGTCGGTTCTCCGACTCTTCGTAAACAGCGAGCAAACGATTTTTCAAGGTCTCATATTTATGTGTTCCTGGTGGATTAAGCACAATATCGCTAACCTGCTCGATGACTTGCTTGCCCAATTTCGGAAGCAACAAGTTAAACTTCGCTTCATCGCCTAATTTTTGAGAAGCTAGCACCGCCTCACACTGGGCGAACCATAATCGCGGCTGGTCGCACCAAAATTCCGGTATTCGCGATGATACGCTGATTGTTGCCAGTTCTGAATCTTCACGTAAATTTTCCTTCACTTGTACGACTGGTTTAGAATTGGTAGCCATCTTATATTTGATCTTCAGTCAGGTGTTGTTTTTCAGTCGGGGTCACCAATATGTGGCGGACGTGAGGAGAAAATAATAAGGCTTTAATAATAAGCGTTTATTGAAGTGCGTATTGCACTTGCGAGACCAAGCGAGAGACTGTCGAATCAATACATATTCGATCTATAATCTAATGTAATATCTATACTTATATATTATGCTCGTTACAAATCATATTACCTCATGTTACAATAGGTACAAGGAGATACAAAATCTTAACCACCATTAAAGGTGGAAAGAATGTTACATAAGTATAAACAAATAATACCATTTTGACATTGGTCAATATAAAGTTTTTTACTAGGAATACTATGGTGTAATGGAATAGGAAATAAGAATGGTAATAAAAAAATATAAAAAATAGATTAAATATAGATTTACTTGATTTCTTAGTAAAAAATTAAACCATTAAAGTATGAAGTGGTTTTATAACATATTTTTATATTTTTATTTATTTATAATTTGATGCAACATAAATATTTTGTTAAATATTTCACTTTAAATAAGAATTAACAGGTCCATTGCACAAGTTTTGTATTTTTTTATAATTTATATAGCAATTAAACTATAAAATATGTTTTAGCCTAAATCTACTGGTGAACCAAAAACTAAGCCAACACAATCGTCTGTACGTGAATTACGAGGATTAGGCTTATCACCTGACTTGATAATATGTCGTTCCGAGAAACCTATTAACCACAATGTTAAGGAGAAAATTTCAAATTTCTGTCATGTTGCACCAGAACAGGTATACCCAATATTACTTAAGATTTCTACATTTACTTTTCCTTATATAATACTAGTTTTCGTGTTTGGCTCCACTGGCTTGGTATTTGTAACAGATATAAAAAGTTCTCTAAGTATTCCATTCCTAAGGTAAAATTTGTGCCCCTTCTAAAATTTTATCAAAATCTGTTTGACAGTTTAATTGTGAAAAGGTAAATAGTAAGTATTAGTAGTATATTAATTTCCCTTACTTACTTTCCTTTACATTAGGTATATAAAATTGCAATATAAGTGAAGGAGTGAATGACGGTGAGTCATCATTTTATAGATGTTTGATTGAGTTGGTATTAAAATACCAATATAAACACCGTTCATATAGTAAAAATATTATCAGTAAGACAATAGATGGCATTGATACACAAACTGTCTAATTATTTTATTTTATGAGTATAAATATGAATGTAGTAAAATTAATTTTGCATTTAATAAACCGAGTAAAATAAATTTGAAATACTCTTTGAAGCCTATCTAGTTTTCCTAAGATATCTATGTGATTCTGCGAACCCGCACTTGGCCGTGTTGGCACGTGGTGGACTATGGCTCGATCCCCCTTGCATTTATGGGAGGCTTGTGCCTTGTAGTGGAACTTTAGAAAATTACAAAATCGGCTGAATACACACAGGAAGATTTGGGTAATGTAAGATGTTGTTTTAAAGGTAATATGCATCCATGATCTGACTTCTTTGTACCACGTGCCCCTGCTGATGGAGGCCGAGGGTGTGGTGCAGTACTTAAATGACAGGCTCCAGCTAAACATTGCTATGCCACGCCCATCTAGGTAATTATTTTTCTAATACATGCTTTATTTTTTGGGACTTTATTTCGTATGATCCCAACAAGAACAATGCATGCAATATTAACTATATTTTCTTGTCTCTAGAGCAGGACTCAGAAACCAGTTTAATTTGTAAACCGGTTTTGGTCATTTACCAGATTTTGACTAGAAAGTGTATAATTTATGATTATGACCTTTTTCTAAGTTATTTTGGCATTTTTGCATTGATACAGACCTGACCATATCAGAATGAGGAAGTGCCTGATTTCCTAATTGATTATTCCTTATTACGTATTTTTAAACTCATTAATAGTAACTTAATGTCAATGTTTTATCAATATTAGTGAAAATTTATTATGCTACTTTTATATGACTTAAAAATATTACTTCCTATTTAATACTTAGGGTACTTTTATTGTTATGCAGATCTGTAAAGTCACAATATATGAAATAATTTTTAAAGTCCTAATTAGCCAAATACCTAAATAAACAATTGGGATGACGAAAATCTATATCCAATGTATATTAGTATAGACTACAGATTAGCCCCCACCCCCCTGTATCCGCCGGGATATGGGGGGGGGGGGGGTCTGCACTTTGCTCTTAAAAAAATAAACTGTTTATATCAGAAAATTTACTATGTTACTCAATCGAAATCACGAAATTCGGCAGCTATTAAAATGTCTTCACGTTATCAAAAGTTAATTTTTGTCAGGTTTATGCAAAAATGGCGTAATTTGGCCAAACGAGTTGATAATTTACGAAAAGAAGTGAATATAGCCCTTGTTGGTAAGTATACCAAATTAGAAGACAGTTATGCAAGTGTCACGAAGGCGCTACAACACGCATGCATAGCGGCCGGTTGTAAATTAAATTTGACTTACATTGAAGCAGTTAATTTAGAGAAACAAACGAAAATTGACGATCCGGTGGGATATCACAAAGCGTGGCAGGACCTTTGTAAAAGCGAGTATGTATTTCAAATATTTTAATATTTAATATTCTAAGTATTAGGAGGACCTGTTGTATCAAGGTCAGTTTTTTACGTTTTCGTTTTTAAAGGTAAATAATTATACCTGTAAAATATGCATATATGGAAAGAACAATTATTTAACTATATAATCTCTAAAACAAAGTCGTGTTACACCATTTATAACTCAAGAACGGCAGGACCAATTTTTATGATATTTGATTTTTTGGATTTCTCTTAGTCCGGAATAGAATAATAAACATCAGAAAAATTCACGAAAAAAAATTTAAAGTTATATGGCTAACGCTGGCTAATAACTATTTATATCTATTTAAAACATACATAGCGACGAACCCGAGCAAAGCGAGGGTGAGCCGCTAGTGCATTAATATAATCTGTAGAGAAATATACAACATAAGGAACAAAAACCATTTAAAAAAAGGCAACCATACTTAAAATTGAGGTTGTGTTTGAACACCTATACCATCTGTTACCGACAAAATTATAGTGTAAAGGATGCTTTGACCTCTATATACAATATTATTTTAAAGCGGGAGAGTTTTGAACAAAAATTACGATTGAACTAGGTATCAATACTGTCTCCCCCCCAACGTGCGTTCACCTTGTCGTGGTGGGGGGGCTCAGTAGTGCCCGGCAATCCAACCGGGCTCGAAGCTAAGAAACGCACAGGGAGGTTGCCCATTTCGGTGGGCGGTGGGAGGTGGCCCTCTTCGGGGGGCGGTGTACCATGCGGGTTGCTCCTGGTACTTCTCTGATAGCAGAGTGGACTGTGGAGCAACCCCATGGTTGTGGTGGTCTGCTTCGGCAGACCTGCCGTCGGGGCGTCGTAGTTGAATGCGTAAGCGATCCTGCGACGCCCCATTAAGTAGGGGGAAGGTTTTGTTGGGTTTTAGTGGGTAGTACTGGCTGTATTACGCCGGTGAGTCCCACACGTCGTGCGTAAATGCATTTCCCAAATTTAAAAAAAAAAAAGGTATCAATACTGTCTCCCCACAACGTGCGTTCACCTTGTCGTGGTGGGGGAGCTCAGTAGTAGCCGGCAATACAGCCGGGCGCGAAGCCAAGAAACGCACAGAGAGGTGGCCCGCTTCGGTGGGCGGTGCGAGGTGGCCCTCTTCGGAGGGCGGTGTACCATGCGGGTTGCTCCTGGTACTTACTTACTACTCTGACAGAAGAGTGGACCGTGGAGCAACCCCATGGTTATTGTGGTCTGCCTCGGCAGAACTGCCGACGAGGCTTCGTAGTTGAATACGTAAGCGATCCTGCGACGCCCCATTAAAACGGAGGAGGTTCTAGTGGTTAGTACTGTCTTTTCGAGCCGGTGAGTAGGATATAACCGCTTGTTTGTCTACAGGTGGTATGCGTAAATGCATCTCTCCACATTAAATAAAAAATGTACATCACTGTCCAAGGTTCCACAGGTTCTCCTAAAAAAATTTTTTTATCATATATTATGTCTATTTCTGATATATAATTCAAGAATAAACGTAACGTCCGCGTTATATAGCGGCGTGTAGTGCTCAGGCTATGATAACATTAATTTTTAGTTAGGTTTTGTACTATCAAAATTAAAATCCTTTCAATCAAGTTTGAATAATGCACTATTACGTAGACTAAAAAAATTTCTATGAATGATTTTAATATTAATTGTTTTTTCGTAGGTATAATTTTATATACTCATATTTTTTAAGTTTTATTATTAAACAAAAAGGATAAATTTAAATGAAATCTTAAGTTTTTCTAACATAAGTGATCTTAGATGATATATAACAATGAGACTATTTTAGCGGTGTTATAGTGCCTGGTGGGTTTGGTCAGCGTGGCATAGAAGGCAAGATACAAGCGTGCCAGTGGTGTAGAGAGAAACAAAAACCTATGCTAGGTATATGTCTTGGTCTTCAAGCAGCTGTTATAGAGTTTGCTAGAAATGTGCTAGGCCTAAAAGGAGCTAATTCTACAGAAGTTAATCCAGATTGTGATGATAAATTGGTGATTGATATGCCAGAACACCATCCTGGTAATCTCGGGGGCACTATGCGATTGGGCAAAAGGAAGACTTATTTGGAACCCAGTATTGTATGTAAGTATTTAATATACCTGTAACTACTTCCTTGTAATTTTAATTACTTTATTCTCTCTTTGATTTATCTTTCAAATTAATTGTTTGTCTGTCTGTCTGTTACCATCGCATCGCAGAAAAACGTCGTTGTCATCTGAACGCGGGCGGAGCCGCGGGAAATGCTAGTATAGTATAAAAGCAATGTTTCATTAGGGTGAAGATTTCAAGTTTTGTAAATTTCAATTACAATGAAGAATATATTTTTATAATAACTGCTTAGAAACAAACTAAAAAGATGAAAACATGTTGTACAAATAAAATAGTATTACGAAGTCGGGGACATACACAGCTCACAGCTGACGTGCTGTGAGTTCTGCTTCGTGTACTTACTACTCGGCGTAACTATTTCCCATACATTTTATTTCTTTATTTCAAACCGAATAAGTAACGCATGCCGATAAACCAACTCAATAGAACAATACATTTTTATAGAAATAGAATACCCTATAGTAGTGAAACAAATTTCAAATTTTAGTACTTTACTAGCTACTATTACTACTACTACTACTAGACAAATAAAAACAAATTTATCCCACGGGTATCGTACATTTTTGCGGGATAAAAAGTAGCCTATTTGTTATTCTGATGTATGAACTATATTATTGTAATGTTTCATTAAAATCCAATCAGTAGTTTTTGTGTACTGAGCTGTATAAGTTACTATAGTTTTTAAATATCTCACGGGAACTCTTTAATTTTCCAAGATGCAAAATATTTAAAATGTTGACCCATGACCGGCGATATAAGGTACCACCATGAAAGATTTCATTTAAATCGGTCCATCATTTTCGGAGATTAGCCCGTACAAACAGACAGAAAAACAAAAAAAATGAAAAAAACCTGGATTTGTTCTATTTTTCATACATCCCCTTGACTCGGTTTTTAGCAAAAAAAATTCTATGCACAGACATTAGGCTACAGTTTTATTATATGCATAGAGAATATAGAAGAAATAAATGTAGGAGAAAGATAAATAATAGAATTATACATATAGTGACAATATACATTATATCCCAGCCAAGCTATACAAGAAGGAGTTGATAGAAGAGCGGCACAGACACAGGTACGAGGTGAACCCGGAGTACATAGAGCGGCTGGAAGCGGGCGGCCTGCGCTTCGTGGGGCGCGACTCCTCGCGCACGCGCATGGAGGTGGCGCTGGTGGACGCGCACCCCTACTACGTGTGCGTGCAGTTCCACCCCGAGTACCTGTCGCGCCCGCTCTCGCCCAGCCCGCCCTTCCTGGGGTCAGTATACACTGTGTACACAAGCAGGATTCAGGATTCAGGCGTTATCAGTGATCTCAACTATACATAATATTAAATAATCTATATATTAATACATAAAGCAAAAACTTTGTACCCCTTTTTATGAAAGTTGTATGGACAGAGGAGTATGAAATTACCCACACTTATAGTTTATAAAGAGAATGAGTGTTGAATGCTAATATTTTTTTTAAATTATGCATAAAAAATACATTTCACACATGAAATTCTTCTTTCTTAAAAAAAGCAGACCTGCTCTCCCCCAGCCCATTATTCCTCAATATAAATTTCAAATATGTACAAAGTTAATTCTGTAAAATGCTGTACTATGTTGTTTTGTTTAATGAATCTATGAGTTTTTACATTAAGTTTCCAATAAAACTAGTAAAACATATTTAGGCCACTTTCATATTTCTGTTCCATGGGTAGGTAAAATTTACTCATCTCCATATGTAAGTTAATTAAAATGCTTACATAAATTTGATGTTTTAAGTAAATTGAAGTATTTTTGTATATGTGGTATTCCTATTTTCTAGTTTTCTACATTTTTAAAATATAATATTTTTTGCAGACTCATATTAGCTTCTCTTGGAAAATTGAAGAGTTACATGTCTAAAGGGTGTCGGTTGAGCCCCAGGTCTCAGTCGGATGTGAGCTCAGGTAAATGTTTAAACTTTAAAAATAAAAACTAAATTATACAGTTTTTAAACTTTACTCTAAAGAAATAAATTAGAAAATTGAATATACAGACTCTTTTCATACATGTTTATTATAACATTAGAAATAAACATATACATACATGTAATTATTAACTTATCTCTTCTAATATTATTATAAATCCGAAGTTTTATGTGTTATGATGTTACATTTTCTTGACTAAATATTTTTTGTGACAGCAAAAATGTTATATAAGTTCTATTAAAACGACCGGTTTTGAACATACCCTGATTTTTTAACTCTCGTAACTTTCGACTTCACAAAATACTTTTCGTTTTTAATTGACTCAATTATTTTTTAATCTCTAAGTTTGTTTTCCAACTATCAGAGCTCATCAAAAGCCATGAATTGGCAGAATTGTTGTACATGTATTCTTTTTGGAACTAAAAAATATTTAATAATTGTGTTTAAATGATGTTTCAGATGAAGAGGATGCATCTGAAGAGATCTCTCATCTCACCTTAATTGATGAAACATGCGTATCCAAAAATGGAAAAGGAATAAATGGAGTACATTAAGAATATCACAAATTATAGGTAGTAAGTAATGTTTTAGCTTAGGATTGGTCAAGTCTATATCAAATATGAAATTAGTGACTCTATTACCAGAGTTTAAAACATATTGTTATTAGAAAATATAGGGTTATTTGAAATATAAAATAACAATGTATATTCGCCAATGTTTGTGCATATATTGTTTGAAGGAAAGTATGTAGCAAAAGTTTATACCTGAATAAAAAACAAAAATGGAATATATAATATGTATATTAGGATAGAATTATTGTTATTTTTTTTTACATGTGATTAAGTACTTCCATAATCTAATTCAAAAACCATAATTTAGGTATAAAAATGTTGCTTGAAGTAAGATATGAAGTCAGTGTATAAGTTTATTTTTTCAGTGTTATTGTCTATGTAATTATTTGCATTCCTGCAACAGCTCAGCTTTTATCATATTCTGAAAGAATAAAAGTTTCATTTACATTTAAATGTATTCTGAACGCAACTCAATTATATTAGCTAAAAATATATATGTTATAAGTTTTTAAATAGTTTTGTGTAATAATTATAATTAAAAAAGTAATTAACATAATAATATCGGTGACAGTTTCCTGATCTACATAAATGAATTAGAGATCAAAACTTTGCATAGACCTAGTCAATATATATAATTATAGTAAAATTCTCCTTTAGCATAATACACATTCATTTTTAATAAGAATATCTATAAATTTTGTTTAACTTTTAATGTATTGTAACAAAATTAGTCATATAATAAGATGTACGAATGTTGTAAAATATATATCTTTGATATGTAAACTTTAAATTTCTAGCAAAAAAACATTGAAATGTATTAATTGTTTTTTAAAATACGAGATTTCAGTGTGTAAAAGAATTGAATATGTAACTTGAATGTTATATTTTTTTAAATACCTCTTCACATATATTATTTTGTTGTTTGCATTATCGACTTAGCTTTATGTTTATTTATAGCCACTTATATACAATCACATAATATTCAAATCGTAAAAAAACCAGTAAAAGATAAGGAGAATATTTGAAATGATGAAGTCATAGTTTTATGCATGTATTATGTTCTTTCAATTTTTAATATAGTGGTTTAATATTGTACAAGGAGTATATTTTTATTATTAAGAATGTTTTGTTGTGTAACAATATACTGGGATGAAAGTGTCCTTATAGTTTGTAGAATACTGATTGCTTTAGTTTTTTTTTCAACAGCGTGTGATACTTATTTCTCAAGATAAAATATATATTATACATAGAAAATACTTTAATATATTTATCAACTCATTTGATTTGAAATAAACATATGTATGATTCAAAATAAACAACTACAACAGTATAGTACAGATGATAGAAGTGGGAGATGTCCTGTGTGCCCTCAGATCATAATGTCTAATCAACTTCACCAATATTTCTAGGACACTTAAAATTTTTCAGTTAGTAGAGAGGCCCCACTAGGCCCCCAGTGAATAAGAAAGAGCTATGGCTTTCATATTGACAGAGGGTTTCCCTTTTGTTGGGGAGTGGACAAAGGTATATGTCACTGATTGTGTGTGATATGCACAGATATATAAATTTATATGTCCGAATTTTGGAAACATGACATTAAAGTGCCAATGTAGATGTCTCTAGAATGATATAATTTAGAAAAAAAATGTTGTAAAATTAGATAAAGCGAAATGTTCATGTATAACGATTAAATGATAAGCTAAAATGAATATTATTAATACACTATCCAATAAGTTACATTAGTACATAGTTAGGTTCTGTAATTATTAATAGTTTACATTTTTTTATGTAATAATTGAAAGTATAAATTCTAATTATTACATAAATACTCTTGAGGATATTCATTTGTAATTTGTTTTAATATTTGTTTCTCTTCGCAGCTTACCGATTTACCCAATTGCAGTTTCGTAAATCTTTATGAAATATTAATTTGCTACTTACTTGGAAGTATAGTGAAATAAAATATGTAGCTACTTAACCTAAATCAAATATAATACCTTGTAAAGTGTTAAGACTGTAATGTCTAATTATAATTTATATTTATATGTAATATAACTTAAGAACATGCATAATGTATGAAATATACATGTATAACTTTTACAAATAGTCATTCCAAACTCAAATATATAAAATATTTCAAAAGAGAATCCTTTGTAACTAGCTTATCTAAAATGAGTTATAATAAAGCATAGTTTTTTGGATTTGTGTCTTTAAATTATTAAACATAACAAAAAATTTTGGGCGTAATATATTATGGTTATTACTTAAATGGTATTCCTACGTCTAGAAAAATATATTCCTTAAACTAGTCTGACAGTAAAAGGCCATTTAATAGTTATATATTTTATAAATAGTTTAGTCATAATCTTCTGTGCCAGCTGCTCCTGGAGACTATTGAGTATTGGTGCTAAATAGTAGTACTGGCATATTTAATGCGAAACAGCATAGATTGTCTGTCTATATAATGATAAAGTCAAATTATAAAAAAAAAAACTTAGTATAAAGCATTAGTCGTGGGATAAACGAAAGAGGATATACAATGGAAGTGCGTTGTAACGATTTTTGTATCGGAACCTGTGTCACCAAAAACAAATACAAATAAAAAGCCAATCAAATGTTGTTGTTTTATTTAGTCAAAACTAACAATTATCAATATCGCATAATTTAATCTTTTTTCACTATAAATAAGATTTATTTTACTATGCAGCTGTAGAAGTTAGAACGTATTAAGGTATATGCATGTGATTTAAATAAAGGTGAATAATTTTTTAATAATCTATATTGTTTTTGAATTCAGCCTATATTAATATTTTTTAATGTAATTTCTATTTGATTAAGAAAATAATTATTAAAAAGTACAAATAGGTACAGGTGGGAAATTCAAAGTAGTTAAACGCAATGCTATTATTGGTCAGACCGATTATGACGTCAGAGTATATCTTATAAGAGCGATTAGCGATTTTGTCGCCAAATAGGGAAGAATTTTGCCATTTTCTCCCGCCAGATGACGGGACTACTATGGCCCTCGGTGTATTACAAAGCAAGTCTGAATGGATGTTTTTCATTTTATTTAAAATTTTATTAAAATGACAAATTGTACAATGCCAAGATGCAAAGAAAATGTATATCATTTGTTCCCAAAAGACAAATACTGAAGAAATTGTGGGCTAAAATAATAAGATGACCAAAATTTGCGATATCACAATCTTTATATTTAAGGCTATGTGGACATCATTTTAACGAAAGTGATTTTAAAACTCTTAAATCACCTACGGATGAATTTTTATTTTTGTTTTTGTACTTTATAACATATTAATCACATAGTTTCATACAAACTTTCATCCCCCATTTTACCCCCATATGGGATTGAATTTCGAAAAATGCTAAAACACGTATTTATTTCCAAAATTTATGTTTCTGCGACCAGTTGCTTAGGCTGTGTATTGATTCATCAGTAAGTCAGGACCACCGTAGAATGCACCTCTCCAGCTTCTCAATTCTTGCTTCAGCTGGTCTAACTTCCAGTACAATACATAGCACAGGTAAGATGTGAATACAATAGATCACAATAAATTGCATAACCTCAGACTGAATCTAAATAGGCCATACGTATGGCGCTCTCCTATCGAGAAATCTTCCCCATTACTATACTACTTTATCAGCTATGATAATTAACCTGTGATAAGTGATTTGGAACTGTCAGTTTTTTATATGTAGCAATCTGCAATATACTATACGCTGTCAGTTTAGCAAAATATAATTCGCACGCTAATAATACAAACATTATTTTCAAATTTGCGCATTAAAGAATTTCTGAAATTTAGAACTATAAGTTATTTACCAAATTCAAGATAAGTTTAACTAAAAACTTGTTTAGTAATGGAGTTTTTCAGTTTTTTAAAATGTTTAAATCTTACTCTTATCACTTAAGTGATCAAAATATACAAATAAATTATATCAGTTGTATTAATTAAAAATATTCAAATTTCAAAATGGTATTTGAATCAATCGTTGTGGATGTACTGAACAGGTTTCTAGGCGATTACGTCGAAAATTTAAATAGGTCTCAGCTAAAACTTGGAATTTGGGGAGGTAAGTTTTTATAGATCAATGTATGATGTCATACTTACTGCTTATAGTATAACTGCGGTTATTTATGTCTGATTATTTTTTTCAGGTGATGTTGTACTTGAAAATCTGATATTAAAACAAAATGCCTTGGAAGAGCTTAATATACCTGTTCAAACTGTTTATGGACACTTAGGTTTGTTAGTTTTTTCTCCTATATGTTTTCTTTATTAATATCACAATTTTTTTTTTTACTACCTACTTTATAGTGTCTTAATTTATAATAATAGAAGTAAATAAAACAATTATTGCAGTTACATTATAAAACTTAATCTTATTTAAATAACATATACCAGGAATCTATGAAATTATGGTATAAATTTAATAAAAATGTGTGTTACAAATTCTTATTTAATTTTTTGAAATATAATATGTTTAAATTAGTTCAATAATATTTTCTGGTATTGTTTATCTACAATTTCTAAGTAGTATAAATTATTTAAAAAAAAAATATATCCAAGAATAGACACATAGCTTTAATGTGGGTGTGTATCTAGTGTATAAATTATTTCTACTACACACTACTACTACACACTAACTTTAATAGTTATTTATTACATAACATTATGTAGATTAGTAGGTCAAATTACAATTTACATATAAAAAAGTTTTGTGCACATGCACACACATATAATTATTATAGATTAAAAATGTTAAAATCATTTTTTTTACATTATGTTACAACTCAGAAAAAAAGTTGAATTTTATACTCTATAGAATATTGGACTGATTGAAACTACAGTTTATTATCTGAAATAAATAGTTCATTCATACAAGGTAACAATACTTAGCATGCAATACACAATACTTGCTAATTATTATTAAGCAACAAACTTCACATGACATCATGTTGTTAATCAGTAACTACTTTTTGATTGTGTTAGTGACTCACACAACTGAATTATAATTTAGAGGCCAAGGAGCAGATTGTGCTCCATTTAATATCAAATTAATATGTCCTATATGACATAAACTACCTGTTTGGACAGCATTATATATTATAAATGTATATAAATATTTAACAACAATAATTTTAAAATGAAATGTTACATATCTTTACGATCTAGAGTTTTGTCAATAGTCTCCTTTTCTAACACTATCCGGGGACAATTTTAAGTGTTTTATAATTTCACTAGGCACATTCAGTGAAATTGTAATTACCCTAGTTAAACTGTCAATAGTAGCAATACTAGAATGTGTGGGAAGCCCTGTTCCATTTTAATTGATTGATTCAGTCCAATCAGTGAATTGACTGATTGTTTTTAAAATGTACAAAACGTTTTTAAAATCTAAAACTTCATTTTGGCATAGAGAAAGAAAGTACAAGTAACACGTGTTAAGATTTTCATATGTATAGAATCTCGTAGACAATTTTTTTAAATTTGAGAAGTTTATTATTTATTAGTAATTTTTAATTTTTGATTAGGTGACAGATTTGACTTGCATAATGTAGGTTAAGAAGCGTTTTCTTCCTTAGCCTTCTCGTTAGGTATATTTTTTACTTTAAACCCAGAACCCTTATTATCAAAAATATACATAATACATATTTTGAATGTGGGTAAGAAAACTTAATAGTGATGCGACAAACTGTGTCATCACCGATAATACAAATAATTCTGAGTGAAAACTATTATTATATTTTATTGAACATGTACTTATATCGCAAGTTGACATTATTTTGTTAACTACTTATACTTACTATATAAACATATAAACCTATAAATAATAAATGATTAAAATGTTACATTTCTATTCCTTTATTTTACTAAGTCTTTGGTTCTTGCTGTGCACCAAAAAAGATGTTTAAATTGCGCGAAACCCTAATTTGTTTTAAAAAAACACAAAATTACTCCTTAAAACATCAGCTATCTGCCAGTGAAAGTACCGTAAATCCGAAAATCGGTCCAGCCGTTTTGAGATTAGCCGGAACAAACAGACAGACCAACAAACCTTTTCAAAATTATTTTTTTCTTATAGGTACTTTCATATGCATTTAGTAAAAACCAGTATAAAAACACGCTTCAATGTCATTGATTTATAAGATATGTAATTATTAAAGTCATGATAATAAAAGGTTCTTTGTGGGTAGGGAAAAGGGGAATTAACTATTGTTTCCCCTTTTTTAATTTATCTATTATTATACTTATCTTATTTTTAATTTTAAACATTTAATGTATAGAAACATATAAATAAAAAAATAAATAAATTAACAAGTAAAATCTAAAATACTATTATAAATTTGCCATCCAATTATACCTTGTGTACAACATTCCAGAAGGTAAATTAATAAAATTATATGAGCTGTAGTCGTAAAATATGATAAGACTAGCGGCTCACCCTCGCTTCGCTCGGGTTCGTCGCTAGGTACGTTTTAAATAGATATAAAAAGAAAAAATCTTTCTTTCTCACATTTTAATTATATGTTTTAATACTTACCTATTCCGGACTAAGAGAAATCCAAAAATTAAAATATCATAAAAATTGGAACGCGGTCGAACGGGATAAAAAGTATCCTATGTCCTTCTCCTGGCTCTAAACTACCTCCCTGCCAATTTTCAGCTAAATCGGTTCAGCCGTTCTTGAGTTATAAGCGAAGTAACTAACACGACTTTCTTTTATATATATAGATATTGGGCTGCAAAAGATATTTATGGCATTTAATCTACATAGAAAGTGTTATGTGCCCAACGCCATAGACAACAGTTAGTGTTTTAATAATTATAGTATGTTTTAATAGGAAAGCTGGTACTTAAAATACCATGGAAAAATCTCTATGGTGCATCTGTTGAAGCTACAATAGAAAGACTATTTCTTATTGTAAATCCCACGGCTGAAATTAAGTATGATCCAGAGAAGGAAGAAAAAATGGCACTGGCTGCCAAGCAAGCCGAGCTTGCTAGAGTTGAAGAAGCTAAGAAAAAAGAAGCTGAGAAGGGTATTTTTTCTTGTTATTATTTTTATAGGAGTAAAGTTACAATGTATGTGATAACTTCATTTCTTATCACTTTCAATACAATATTACATACTGAATGAACATATTAAAAATGAATTTTACAATTATTTGGTATGTGGGGGTTTCAGAAAATCAATCTAGATGAGTCATATCTGGGAAAACGCGTGTTTTGGAGTTTTCATGCGGTTTTTTTTCGCATTATAATTCCACGCTAAATATGGTCGCTAATTTCGCACGCTCGGGTATAAATATCGTGGTCAAGTGGCCAAGGCGCAAGATTGACAATCACAGGTGTCCGGGTTCGACTCCCGATCGAATACTAAGTATTTACTTTTTTTTTGTATTTATTCAAGGTTTTAGTTTTTTTTGTTTTTAAGCCAAATTAAAAAGAAAACTGTACTTTAGGCCAAAAACTAGATTATCATGTAAAAAATACGATATAAAATAAAAGAACTCCGAGCGAAGCTCCAGGTAGAAGTAGTACCTGGGTGACCGAGCTTTTAATTTTATTAAGATAATTTTATGTAACATAATGGTTAAACGTAATGCTATATTTTATGGTATTTTAGTATGCTAACTTAATTTTTAAATATTATAGATGAAAATAAATTAGATGAAACATTTGTTGAGAAATTAGTGACACAAATAATAAAGAATGTGCAGTTAAAAATAACAGATATACACATTAGATATGAAGACAGTGTAACCAATCCCAAAACACCTTTCTCGTTTGGCATAACCCTTCATAACCTTTCCGTCCATACAACTGATGAGAACTGGAAACAGACTGTAATACAGGAAGCTGTTACCAAGATTTTCAAAGTGAGTGAAATTATATACATTATTCTACTACTGTGCTTAACATGTTACATTTGTAATATAGTAAAAAAACACGAAACAATGGACACCCTATGATACCAATAAAAAAATTCAATCTGACCGATTTCGGTTACTGTGGTAAATTTCCGGCTCTTGCTGAGATTTTTTTCGAACCCAGGACATCCGGCAGCTGTACATGATAGCCATTAGACCACCCAGACAGTTACAGTAAAAAAAATGATGAAGCTAATAAACATGATTATTAGTGACTTTCATTGTTGTACTAATACGAAGTATTTTATGCAGATGGTATTATAGAATTTGTCAAAAATAAAGCTAAATTCTGCATCACTTTTCAGCTTTATGAGCTCAATCGATATATTAATACCATTTATTTATGATACTTTATGCTGCAAAAACGTAATATTTAATATCATCAAAAATTTTGTTCCTTTTAAATATAAAAATGATGACATTTATTTTAACAGATACTTGATTTAGAAGGATTGGCTATATATTGGAATCCAACTACTGAGCTATATTCAAAAACAAACGTAGAGGATATCAAGTCCCGTTTACAAAAAGAGATAGCAACAAAATCAGCACAACCATCATTTTATCAATATGGTAAGAAATATACATATTAATTTTTTGTCCTACAATCTCTTTAAATATAGTAAACACAAATGTTTTTTACCTCTTGATTTGTGAGACTTAACTATCTACATGGTTTTTAACTGACTACCATTATCTATACAAATAATAAAATAATGAACATTTTTAATACAACATATTTTCTAGACTGAAATGTGTAAATTATTTTCTTACTTATACAGTACTGGGTCCAATAAATGCAACCGCTAAATTAAAGCTGAATCCTAAGCCAGAAGGCGATACGCCTAAGTTCAGTATACCAAAAGTTATATTAAGTTTGCACATGGAGCAACTGTCGGTCAGTTTGACTAAATCGCAGTACCAGGACATGATGTTGTTGGCTGACTCGATGGATAGAATGAGTAAAGGTGCTCCTTACAGGTAAATGTATTACCAGCCTAGTAGTCAACTGTAGAATATAGAAAAATATTTATAAGTAAACGAGGCAACACACCCTCGCTTCGCTCGGGTTCGGCCCTAGGTACGTTTTAACGGTTAGTCTGAAATACAATTCACTTGAATCATTCTATCTATTGCTGAAAACTGCATTAAAACCCGTTGAGTAGTTTAAAAGATCTATGCTAATAGACAGCGAAAGCGACTTCATTTTATACAGTAAAGATAGTAGATAAAAAATTGTATTGATATTAGATATAGCCTATAATAGTAATATTATAATGGTCCAATACAAAAATTCATTTTGCAATGTTGCGATAAAAGTTTCAATTTTTATAACCTATTGCGACTTTTATAACGTTATTATGATATAGAGGTGATAAGGCAATTTGTAAACACAAAACTGGGCTGAATAAACAAAAATGCAAAATATGTCAAGGACCCTGTTTTCTATTCTAGTATTATGTAGATTAGATTAATATTTTCGAATAAAAAAATTATATAATTATTCTTATACATATATGAATATGCTAAAGAATTATGCTTAAGAAATGAAACATAAAATTACATTATATTGTAGGTAATCTATCTATATAAGCGAAGTCGGATTTTTTACAACATTTATAACTTGAGAACTGCTGGACCGATTTTTATGATCTATTAAAACATCAAAAAAATCAAGTTTTTTGTTTTTAAAGATATCTATTCCATACTAAGCGTCAAAACGTACATAGGGACGAAGGTGAGTGAAGCGAGGGTGACTCGCTAGTTAGTAATACGAGAATAAATACAGTTACATTTTTATTTAATATTAAAAAAAATAGTTTTCCAGTCACTTTACAATATTAATTCATATTGTTTTATATTCACCATCAGAAAATATCGACCAGATCTGAAAAAATATAGAGGACACTACAAAGATTGGTGGCATTTTGCATACAAATGTATCCTCGAGGAGGAAGTGCGGCGGCGCAGGAGGAACTGGACCTGGGACCACATGGTGGCCCACAGGAACCTGTGCAAGGACTACGCCGCGGCGTACCACACCAAGCTTAGCTCCAAGGGCAAGGTGGCCAAGGACCAGCAGTGCGTGCTGGACGAGGCGGAGAAGTCTCTAGATTTGTTCAACCTGGTTGTTATTAGACAACGCATTGAAATGGAGGTAGGTTGGCAATCAAAATAATAATATGTGGACAAAGAAAATTGTTCAGATTTTTTTTTGTTATTAATGACGATGATAATGCCTCCATTATCAGATTAGTAATAATGAAAATAAAACAATAAACAAGTTTGTATGTTGCCAGTAATGAATATGTGATTTAAGTCAAAGCAATTTCGCTACTTTAAGGAAGCAATAATAATAATTAGTATATATGTCTACTAATATACATATAGGTAATAGAATGTCAGTCTCAGCTTAATTAATATAAATTTATATTTATGTATGAAATAATTTAATATTTACCTACATTAAGAAAAGACGCAGTTATTGCTCAGCTTTCTCTTTTTTTAATCTAATTTCCTTGTACAGTAACAGATAGTACATAAACGGGTACTATGTAAGTGCCCGTTTATCATAAATAGATGCTTCAAATATCTCTTATATGTTATCTTTACACATCACATATCAATATTGTGTGCATACTAAAACTGTAATACTGTAATTTTAAAGTGTTCAGTGTTATCTCCACTTTATCGCATGTTATCCACAGTTTTGACGAATATAAATTACAACATAAGCCAACAAGGATAAATTATGTTTAAAGTAACCTTATGGAAATACTAGACATTTCGATTAGGTATTTTTAGTTTAAAACAAAAATATGTTGACACGTTTATTCAAACTTATCAAAATACTGATGCGTAATCTTAATGTTTTATTAATCTCCTATCGTATCGGTTAACTTTACCGGTAATATCGATCGCAAATCTTTGTTATTGTTTTTTCCTGGCATCATATCCGAACCTATTATATGATGATATATTAGGAAATTTAAGTAGAATAACGGAAGTCTGCCTAACACTTATGACCGAACTGAGGAGCCTCATTAAGACAGGGAATGTTTTGTTGAGTTTCAGTAAGTAATAACATTAGCATGTCTAGCCAGTGGATCCCACGTATGCAGGGTGTATGGGTAAATGCAATTCCCAACGTTTTATAAAATAATGTTAGTAAATTATGTGTTTAGAATGATATCGAGAAAATAGATTTAGTAGTTTATGCGCCATAGTAGTTTATATGCGATTTAAGGATAATAGATCCATCCAATAATATATATATATATGTATATATATATATATATATATATATATATATAATGTCAGTAAAATGTTAGTTACAAGTATATATTATCCTAAATCTACCTACTATTCTGTCGTCAATAATGATGGACATTTTACTCATATCTTGTTTCCTTTGTAATTTAATTTGAATATTAATTAATAATGGTTGATTTAATGATAAAGGTGGAAAGATTGGGCAAATTGGAGGAAGAAGCGAAAAAGTCTCGTGGTTGGTTCGGTGGCTGGTGGTCTGGTGCTTCCAAAGACGAAGAGCTCACTGAGGGCGTCGCCATTAGTAAGTTACTATTTATTATACGTTATTTTACACATAATAAATTAATTGACTATATTAGTTTGAACAACAAACACACATACAATTATAAAGATATTGGGAATATAACGCAAATATAAAAATGATGCTTGTCATTAATATGACAATGCAAATCAAAAAGAAAAGTTAATCAAATTTATATCTGTCGTATTGATTAAGGATCAATAGCGAACTTAAGATATTATGTGTTGTATACACCAAAAGTTATAGAATATGAGAGTCGCACATTCATATCTTATCGTAATAACATTTATTCCAAAACTGTCAACAGTCAAACAGTTCGAGAAGGCGATGACATCGGACGAGAAAGAGAAGCTGTTCCGCGCCATCGACTACCAGGAGAACAGCGCGCCGCTGCACCTGCCCGCGGAGTACGTGGCGCTGGAGAGCCACTTCGTGCTGGACCGCCTGCAGCTGGCCGTCACCGACGCGGCCGAGGTGCTGCGCGCGTGCGTGGAGACCGTGTGCGTGGGCGTGCTGCAGCGCCCCAGCGCTAACGCTCTCAGGTGACCATCGATACTAACTTATTGATTTTATTATTTACTAGCGACTCGCCCTCGCTTCGCTCGGGTTCGTCCCTAGGTACATTAATTTTTTTTGAGCGGAACCCTAATTCTTTTACTGAAATAAAAGTAGTCTAAGTTACTCCTTATAACATCAACTACCTGCCAGTGAAAGTCCTGTCAAGATCTACCCAGCCGTTTCGGAGATTAGCCGGAACAAACAGGCAGACAGACAGACAAAAAAAATTAAATTGTGGTTTTCTTATAAATACCGTATATAATTCCATATGTATTTAGTAAAAAGCTTTTATTTTGACTTTACAAACAGACACTTCAATTTTATTTATCTGTATAAATGCGAGTAATGTATCTTATATAATAGCGGTAATAATTTTGGCTTTTATTGATTCTTTGGTGGGCACAGGCCTCCTTCTGAATGTGAAAGGGATTGGGCCATAGTCCATATTATTCTGGCTGAATGCGGGTTGGCAAAACATACACACGCACGCACGCCTCCTTCTAAATATTGTTAGATTTTCTCAGACATGAAGATTCTTCACAATGTGGTCCTTCATCGTATTAGCAAGTTTTAATAATGGAATTCGGATATGACAATCTCACAAGCATAAGATACAATTTGTTGAAAGTTTGAACCTGCTTCATTTTGTCTATTCTTTGGAGATAGATAAATTGAAGTGGGTACAATCTTCAACATAGCACCGGCAAGCAACGAGCATGCAACGAGCACGCATCGAACACGCACGAGTATGATTCTCGTGGGCTGCTATTGTTCTTATATTAAATAATAACATAATCATTTAGTCTTAGCAAATTTATATTAATCTGCAATTTTGTTCTTTTACAGAGTGGATGTTCAAATGCGTGCTTTCACCGTAACAGGAAAATGTCAAGGCGACTTTGAACCACAGTTGGTGACTTCTGTAGAAGTCTCTAATGATGTGAATTTACTGAATGTTATCTTTGAAACCAATCCATTAGGTAAAGCAAAGTATTCATTTAAATAATATATTATAAATAAAAGCGTATTTTATTATAAATAAAATATTTTCGAAACTTCACTGCACAACAAACGAATACAATATCGTTATAAAATTATAGGTAAAGATTATATTGTTTTGGAATTTGCATTACAACCAAAGCCCATGTTTTTCTATTAGATATGTTATTTTAGCAAAATGGAGAAAACTGGAAAAATATTCTTTACCAAGCCTAGGCTCTCCTTGGGCTGTAGAGTCACGAGAATGATGATGTTATACTAGTACTTTTATTCAATCCTTTTTAAAGTCCAACTGCTGGGCATGGGCCTCCCAATACGAAGGGGATCAGGCCATAGTCCACCACGCTAGGATGTAGGCTAGTGCGGGTTAGCGGATTTCACATGTCTTGTCGAAAACTTGCCAGGTTCTCTGAGACATGCAGGTTTCCTCACGATGTTTTCCTTCACCGTAAGACAAATAGGAATCGTCTTGAAAATGATTCCCACATGAAAATATCAGAGGTGCGAGAGCCAGGATTAGAATCCGCTTCACTTGGTTTTCTAAGCGAGCGCGTTACCATTGGGCTACAACTGTGTATTAGTACTTATGAATGTTATTATTTGAACAGATGGAGGGTGCGATCAACGTGTTAAGGTGCAAGCGCAGCCGCTGCAGATTGTTTACGACGCACAAACAGTAATAGAGATTGTAAATGTGTTCAAACCACCTACGGAATCTACTGCTTTAACTACGTAAGTAATACAAAAAATATTATCTCCATTCTCCTTTTATTTACCATATAATCAAAGTGAATGAATCATGGCGTATGTATGTATGTTTATTATTATGATGTTTTAATACACTGCCCACAAACGCTAATAACATGGCTACTTATTAGCCATTGCGATATTTGCTCTTTGGTTGAAAAAGGCGAGATTGGCCGCCATGATTGAAATTCAGACCGACGAGTTTAATGTAATGATTACTTTATAATATTTACAATATTGCATATCAGCAGATACGAAATATTGTTAAGATTGCATTTTTTTGTCACACATAAAGTGATAAGACACGATTATTAAAAACAAATAGAATATAAAAATAAATTAATTATTAATTTAGCGTAAAAGCTGACTGCCAGCGCGACACGTTTCCGGACGTACAATAAACATAGAGATAGAATAACTATGTTTTACTTTAAACATATAAAACATATGAATATATTCATATTCAACTTTAATTTTATGAAAAGTGAACTTTATTCATTAATAGTATTTCAAAGAAAGAGAGAGATGTTTTTCTCATGCCTTGGCTGAAAAATGTATTATGACTCTACAAAATAATTTTTTATTAATCAATAGATTGCAAGCAGCCGCTGAAAATAAATTATCAGATTTGAAAGAAAAATCAGCCCTGGGCATGCAGTACGCGGTACAACATCATACGTTTATTGATTTGGACATCGACATTGCTGCCTCCTATATCATTGTACCGCAGACTGGCAAGTATAAAGGGTAAGATATAGTTTGTGTTATTTATTGATTTTGGAAATACATTTAAATTTTATTTTTTATGCGGCATCATTAGCACAGCAGCGTGATGGACCTTCGCACAATTTTATGGCCACTCTAAAAATAATGGAGACGGAGGACAGAGATGAGATCGAATTGGTACATGGAACGATCAAGGTCGCTCATTTACTTCACTGAATCTCAGTTAAAGTGATAATAAATCTCATAGTAAGGGCATTAAGCTCATTGACTTGATGTTTGAGGGGCCGAAGAACTCTCAAGTAGCAGCTGTATACTTATAGGCGAAGGCTTCCCACAAAGAAAATCGCTTGATTCCTTGATTCCACTGGACTGAACATTTTTGGTGCTGGCCAATGTTTAGATGATGGTGAACTAGTACATACTGCATTAGCTTATCATCATTATAATTGTTTTTTATCATTGTTAAGTATAGTTATATAGTTTTGCTCAATATGCTATTCCTCATAGTTTTGAATGTTGCGGGTTGTATATTATAATTAACTAGCGACTCACCCTCGCTCTGCTCGTGTTCGTCTCTACTTACGTTTTAACGTTTAGTATAGATTTCTCAGAGATGAGATATTTTCCCTCCGTAAAAAGTTTCCCATATGTTGGCCTTTTTTTTTTAACGTTGGGAAATGCATTTACGCACGAGGTGTGGGACTCACCGGCAAAACCAGTACTATTCACTAAAACCCAACAAAGCCTTCCCCAGTGTTAATGGGGCGTCGCAGGATCCCACCGAAGTGGGCCACCTCCCTGTGCGTTTCTTGGCTTTGCGCCCGGCTGTATTGCCGGGCACTACTGAGCCCCCCCACCACAACAAGGTGAACGCACGTTGGGGGGATCCCATATGTTGACTTGGATAACCAGCTATCTTCATACCAAATTTCATTAAAATCTGTTCAGTGATCTTCTTGTAATGTGGTCACACAGACAGACAGATCAATAGACAAAAAATCTAAAAACAATAGATTCGGCCTTTGTATTGATAGTAAAGTCTATTTCAATAAGATTTTTCAATAAAATATTCAATGCACAGATTAGGCTTAGTTACAATTTTATTATATGTATAAATAAGTAGTGACCGACCTAAGATTCGGTTTCGGTCGGATTCGGTTATAAATGCCTGTTTCGGTCGTACAATAATCAAAATGTATGTTGCAGGTCGGAGGCGTGCGCGGTGGTGAAGTTGGGCGCCATCAAGGTGCAGTCGGAGGCGCGCGGCGAGGCGCTGGACGTGCACGCGCTGCACCGCCGCGGCCTCGCCGACAGCGACATCCTGCGCGAGGTGCTCGCGCACAGCTACGACCGCATGGCGCTGCGGCTCACGCACATGCAGGTATTTACAAAAAGATCTTAAATATGTAAATGGAGGCCCATAACATATGTACGTATATATCTTCAAAAGATTGTAGTATTATTCGCCCATACTTCACTTCACTGCTTGACACAAGCATTTTTGAAGTTATACTTCTTTTGGCACGTATGAAAAAAAATATGAGAGTAAAATTTTTACGATGCGCACGCACACTGTTAGCCAAAAAGCGACATGATGAAGATTTTTTGCTATTTTTGTTCTGTTTTGTGCGTGTATAACTACACACAGGTTTTTTTTGCTTGACTTGCTTGCTCTTAGTCTGCAACTTTCTTAAGGTTCGAATTATTATTTTAAGTTTTGTGTACCTTTTTTAAAGTTTTGTATTTGACTATTTGTAATCACGGGGTCTCATTACGACCAAACAAAAATTTGTTCAAATAAATGTCAATAGGTATAGTTATATATATCGATTTGTTATTAAAGTTGTGTTAAATTATCAAAAGATAAAAAAATATATCCCTAAAATGTACATTATTATTTAAAAAAAATCTTCTTAGTGAAAGGAAAAGAAATAATTCGCCCGTAATTTGCGTAATTTTACTGATTATTAAAATTGAAATATCAGTAATGAGATGGTTAGTAGTGTATATTCACACATAGCGCTTTTACTTTTTATGAATTGTTTATCATGGTAATTTTTTTTAAATCACTGAAAATTCTTGATGCAGAATGAATTTTACAATATTTACTATTTGTTAGTTTGCAGATATATTTTATAAAATAAAACAGTTTAACTATTTGCGAATCAACGACTATTATCTATTCAAGCAAATAAAAAGCCCGAAGAATAGACCGAATTAGCGCTGTCCAATTTCTATATATGGGATGAGGCATCTATACTAGTATAGTATTATGTGATCTGTGACGTAATAATGCTACGAAACCGTCGCTGTAGGAGCCATTACTCGATTTTTTCGAAGTTAAATTATTTAATTAGATCTCTAGTACTTCTCAATGTACTGAAGTAACTTATAAGTATAAAGTATCACGCACATTACATCTGAAATGTCATAAATACATATACTCATAAATTGTCAATAGATTGTGATAGCGTCCCCCGACGAGGACTGGCGCGCCGCCATCGCGTGCAACGTGGCCACGCCGCTGCACCTGCTGCAGCCCACCGACCTCGTCATACAGATACACAAGTGCCTCATCACGGATGACCCCCGCCTGCCCAAGATCAAAGTTATGGGAGAGTTGCAGAAGATTGCCATTAGCGTCTCTGAAGACAGGTGTTTTATTGCTCCCCTTTTTAAATATTATTATTTATATACATTTTTGATATTTGTCTTATGTGACAGTCGTCATCGTCATTGTATGGGAGTCTGCTAATGTTGTCCGGTTTTTAATCTTTACTGAAATGGTTAGTCCGTTTCAGGATTTGGATGAAATATTATTTAATTGAAATGTCAAATCTAAATGAGATTAAATCAAACTCTAAGATTCCCTACTTTTACATATAAATGATACTATCAAGATAATTATTTGTTAGATTTATTATATTAAAAAAATATATATTCTTACTTATAAAAGGAAGATTAATAAATTAAATAAAAAATAATAAAAAAGTAAAATTGTATGTGAACCACTAGGGTGCTAAATAGAACATGCTTCTTAAAGTAAAACGTCTGGTAATGCTAGGAAGCGGACTTAAGAAGGACCTAACTAAAAACTACTGAACTGTATCATCATACTATACGCGGAGATCGCTGTAAGAAAATAATATGTCCTATCAATATAGCAAAAATAAGACTTGTATGAGTATAATATATGCGATAATGTTTTTTTCAGATTACTTACTCTATGTGAAATATTAGTCAGCATGCCTTTACCACAATCGGAAGAGGTTAATCAACTAAAGGTAATAATATAACTGAATATATTCAAAAATAAACAAAATTGGTAAAATATATGTACATGCTGTAAATTCATTGAATATTTATTTCTTAATTTAAAGATATTTTGCTACAAATTTGCGTACGCTATGTCTGGCCGTGCTATCGAAAGTACTTTAACTATCCAAGATGGCGCTGGTGCGGTAAATATTTGTAAGATTGTGAAAATTAGAAGTGTTTAACTCACTAGTGTGTAGATACTTAAAACCAGTAGACTATTCATAGTACATGTTCGTCTCAAATATAGCAGTATATAAGTCCATTCCTTAGCTTATTTTAACACATTTCCTTTTAAACGAGTTAAACTGCTAACTCTGTTTTATGAAGTATTTAAAATGTCAAAAATATATTCCAATTTCTTTTCTGGATCTGAAATAACATTCTATTATATCTGTTATATTTATTTTAGATGGAGCATACAATAGGTAATTTATAAGGTTTATGAGCACAATTTGCTATATCAAGTTTGTTAAAATAAGTATACCTTAAATAATTTCTCATAAATTGGGTTGTTAGTTAAATACCTTTGCAAAACATATGTGGTGTACATTTGTTTATATTAGTATAGTAAAAAACTAAATTAGCACATGTTGAATATTTTTCACCTATGTTACAGCCGAGTGATTCAAAAGCATCGAGCTTATCACTTTTAAGATACCTGGATCCAGCAGAAAAACAAAGGAGAGACACCGCGCGCTCCAAGCAGCGGAAGTCTGATGAACATTCGGTGCAATTGACAGAAGTAGAGGCGTTCTTTATCATGAAAGGTTATATTTTTTAATAATATAGTGTTCTAATTTCTTTTAAATGACTATACATTAGATATCTATATTTTAAAAGAGCAAATGTTTTTACCGTTGGCTCTTCTCAGCCTGCACTGCCTTCCGAGATGGTGGTAGTTTCGTCACAGACTTACATACCGATATTTAATTTATTTTAAATGTAAAAATTGACTATTCGCAAGTGCTCGTAAAAATCTATTTAAATAAAGCATTGTTTGATTTGAAATTATTTTCTTGCAGAACTAATAGTAAGCGTTAACAGAAAAACAGTACAAGCTTCTCAAGATTACGATAGATTCTTAGTGTTCTCACTAAATCTGCTCGAATTGACGGCGACTCAAAAGACATTCACTGTCGAGGCGACGGTGCGGCTCGGCTCGGTGGACATGCAGCACCACCGCGCGGCGCGGGAAACTATCAATATGGTAGAAACACCTGAACTTGTCAACGCTGACTCGGAAATAGCAGAGAAAGGAAGTGTTAACCAGTACCTGTTCACTGTGACCTATAGTAATGTGAGTGTCTATCTAATAGAATGATTTACAAATCAATTATTACTCTCTAGCTTGCCTCCCAATACAAAATTTCATCCCCATTTTCACCCCCTTAAGGGATAATTTCCAGGATAAAGAGTATCCTGTGTCCTTCCCAGGGTCTCAAACTATCTTCTTACCAAATTTCATCTAAATTGGTCCAGTAGATCCAGAGATTACCACCTACAACATCACAAACTCAAGTCACAACCTCACAAACTTTACCTCTTTATAAAATTAGTATAGAAAAACTTTATTACTATCATTATGGGTTTTCAGGTTGACAAAAAATGTCCTGAGTTCCGCAGTCACTATGGCTCTGTGGAACAGTTGATTGAGCTGGACTTTACTAGACTTAAAGTTTTGCTACATCTTCAAGGACTTCAAGAGATTTTGGTGATTGTTAACGAGTATCAGGTATTTAAAAATATATTACAGAAGTTTCTCATAATAATAATAATAATTAATTATTTAATATTAATAAATAATAATGTATATAAATTGACTTCACTTAACAGACACGACTACAAGCTATTCAAAGCACCGTAGATAGATACGCGAATGCGGGCCCGTTGGAAACAATTGCAGAGGATGAGGAACTGTCCATTGTCAAATCTAGAGGTACGATAAACTCTACTACACTATTTACGACGTACGTACGATAAACTTTACTATTACTGTTATATTATCATTTATTTTTGTTGGCTTTTTACATAATAAAAACTAAGTATTGTTATATAAATGCATACTTTAGATTTCTTATTTTATATCAAAATCAATAGGTACAGTATATACTATGGATTGATGACTTTCAATTCGTTATTGTGCGAAAGCCCATATATCATTTACAATTTCACAAATCACAACATAAATATGAATAGAATAATGATTTATACACAATTTACATAAACCATTTTTTGCATTTCTTCACAGTTTTATTTTCATTTTTAGTTCCCGACGTTTCGAATGCTTTACAGTTTACCGAAATTATTATGGTCACACGAGAAACTTTACCCATTAAGAATCGATATTTAAAGTAAATTCGCAAATGAATTCGAAAAAATAGTTTCATTTAAAATGTAAAATATTCAAGTTAATCTATGAAAGTTTTAAACATTTGTTTAAACCAGTGAACGCAACAAAGCCGTCCCGCCGCAAGCAAGTGGAGAGCATCCAACTGAAAGTGAACGTTAAGATCGGGGCCATAGAGATCGGTTTCGCGACGGACGCGCGGCCGCTGTCGCGGATGACGCTGCAGGGCGCCGCCGCCGGCCTCATGCTCAAGGCCTCCTACACGCAGATCGACTGCGCCATCGCCTCCATCAAAGTGGAGGATCTCAACCCCGTCACTGTGCATAAAGAGGTACAATTTGTACAATGTAGTCTAAGTAAAGCTTTATACAATTTGGCATATTACAGAATATGTAAGGTTGCTAATGTTGTATGTATATTGTGTATGTTGGGTTGAATCATTTTTTTTGTCAGACTATGTACAGTTCTCGAGGCGTAAGCTCAGCTTTGCATTTGTGTGAGTGATAGCCATGATAGATAGTAAGGTTAGTCAAAAAAATTACAAAAATAAAATCAATATTTTATCAGAAGGAAATGCTGATATTTTAATTATTAAAAAAAAGCAGTCATGAGGACTGCCGAGAGAAGTGAAAACTTAAAACTATAAACAAACAGTTGTTATTTTTGGATATTCAAATTAATTTTTCGATCTTAAATTAAAATTTGCAAATTAAAACTGTTTACATTTATCTGGTTTTGATATTTATCGCCACTCTATTCGTTCAATTTGCTCAAAATTTCTTTCGTTTGGATGCTTAATGGTTTTGGTGTAGTCAATTTGGTTACAGTAGGAGCCATTTCACTAATGATAATAATATTATATTATAATTCAAACACAATAACAAAATAATATTATACGTCAAGCTGCAAACGGTACCAGAGGTGAAATGCGGAAAGTGCAGGGCAGGCTCAGGCCGCGCTTCAAAAACCAGTATAAACGGGTTTAAGCCGTACCTCTCCGTACACTATGTGTGTACGCTCACACAAATGCAAAGCTGAGCTTAAGGCACGAGGACTGTACTAATGTTAAGTTTTACTAGACTTTGGACAATATCTTGTGCACTATTTCTATTTCTTTAATATACCTAAATAAAATAGAGAAATAAAAACCTCTATTGGAACGTTTTAACATTTACACTATAGTCCATTCGCGTTAAGAAAATAGTAAGTCATAAGTACAACTGCAGGGTAAAGGTGTATTCATAGTGGAGTAAAAATTGAATTCGAATATATTTCAAAAGATCAAGTTAAATGCATAAAAATCAACTTAATTATCTCAAATCAAAATAGTCATTAATAATATATTTAATCAGTATCACTACAATCTTCGTTTGTATTTATTATAACTCGCCTTTCTCCGCTATGAATTATCAATTCATAAAAGTGAAACATTCTTACAAATAGGTAAGGTATTCATTTTTTAAATTTATTGTAGGTAACGCACATAGAAAACAACTGTTTCGTACGAAACTCTGCCTTCAACTAATCATTGTAAACTTGGCTTTATAATTTTATGCGACCTAATTGGTCGGGAGGCCGATGGACCGGATTCTTAATGCGACTGAACTATAAAAAATTATGTACGACGAAGACATCAGATTACAACTGTGACGTAGCCATTAACACGTACCTCCAGATTTATACATTTGTTTCAAATTATGATTATACTTATGCATTAAATCATATTATTTAATTCATTGTAGATATTGAAAGTGCTGGGCGGTGACGTCGTCAATGTGCAAATAGTAATGTACAACATAGACCAGTACCCGAGCGTCAGCGACGTCAACATGTCGATAGACGCGCAGATCAACTGTCTTCGTATTATATTCCTGAATTGGTTCGTCACTTCCATGCTGGTGAGTTTATTTAGACTTTCTAATTTAATACGAATGTTGAATTATGATAAAAATCAGCTAATATTGGAAAAAGTATAAATAAACGGACCGAGCGTAATTACGTTATCATAATTATGATGACATATGTGTGTGTATATATATATATATATATATATATATATATATATATATATATTTAATAAGAGTGTATAGGAACTATGTATGTATGTATAGGAAGGTTATGTATAATATAACATACAATATACAAGTCTGCATTTACATTTCAATATAATTAAACTTATTCCTAAACTTCTAATATTTTACTAGATTTTACTGGTACTTATTATATTTCTTAGATATATGTAATGTCATTAATTAAATAAATGTATCAAAAATTTGGTAAATATTTGCAGGAATTTTTAAATAACTTCCAAACAGCGCAAGAAGCGCTGATCGAGGCGTCGTCGCAGGCGGCGGACGCGGCGCGGGCGAACGTACAAAGCGCGTATCAAAACTCCACTAAGCTGTCCCTGCGCGTGCGACTCGCTGCGCCTATCATTATAGTTCCAGAAAATTCTACCAGTAATAATGCAGTCTTAGTGGATCTAGGCCGAATGAATTTGAATAATAAATTCGTGGATATGCCTGCAGCGGTAACTATATACATTTTTTCACTATTTAAAATGGTCGTACCTAACTTAATATAACAAAATGTATAGAGTTTCCAAGTTAAATGTAAAAAAAATGTGGCAATTTAATTTTCTTGAATTCTTATATATTATAATATAGACCCATTCTTTATATAGAATTAAAAATAAATTATTGTATGTATAATGTTATAAATTTTTGGGGTATTTTTAACAGGACGTGAGTAACAAAGTCACAGTAGACGAATTAATGTTAGATTTAGAAGACATGAAAGTATCGTGCGTGACTCTTACGGACGACTATCAAGAGCTTTCGCAAGAACGCAAGCTGTTGCGCCCTACAAGCTTTAAACTGTTTGTAAAAAGAAGTCTCTCTTCGTGGTACGAAACATTGCCCGATTTGGATATATCAGGAAGGATGAATACCATTGCCGTAAGTGACTTACGAATGCTAAATCTTAATTAATTTAGCAATAAATAAATTTTGTTTAAAATGTAATTAATACTAAAATTGTAATTGAGATTAATGTGACATATAAAATGAATAAAAGAATGGAATATAACAGTGTATTAAGTTTTTTTTAAATATATTTAATATCTATTTGAATGTTTTTCTTCATTTGTTACAGATTACTGTCGGCCATAGTGATTACAAAAGCATAATGAAAATCTTAAATCAAAATCTCCAAGAAGGTCAACTAGCTAAGGCCGAAGAAGTCAAACCACACACTAACGTATCTAAAGTTACATCTAGGCCAACTCTAAAAAGTCAAACAAGTAGAGTGCAGACCAAAACAGTTGCGGCCGTAGTCACGCCCACGGAAAATAAAATGCCAAGAACCACAATAAAGTTCTCATTCACCATGGACAGTTTCGTCATCGATCTTATGAATACTCATTATGTAAGAATTTAGATTTTTTATTTTCCTACATTATTATAGCGCTTTATTATATAATATATATGTACAATGTATATAGTATGTATTTTATTGAGTAATAATAAGTATACATAATATTCTTAACTATATTTGTTCTACAATAGATTATACTATGACGCTATATTAAAAATAAATATATTTAACGCCAAGTAGGAAACAGTAAAAACATTAATATTATTAAGAAAATTGCTACCAGGTTTCACGTTCAACAATCGTTGATTGTGATAGATGTAGACTGTAGCGCCCTTAAACTTCACGCAGATAGATATCTGTTAAGAGTGTTTATAATCTGAAATTTTCTTCACGGCATTTTCTTGGCAGATTTGAATGAAATTCGGACTGAAAATAGCCTATATTCTAGATTAAAACAGACCACCTACACACTTGTACTGTCATAGCTACCAAGTAAGCAGAGCCGCGAGCAATAATAGCTAATAAAATGAAAATAATAATGAAATACATAATAGTAATTCTAAAAAATGTTCCTAATCTATACTAATATTATAAATGTGAAAGTTTCACAAACTTGGATATGTAGTATGGATATATAGTAGATGTTTGTTACGATTTCACGCCGGCTGAACGGATCTGGATGAAAGACACAGAGGTAGATTATAGTCTGGAATAACACATAGGCTACAATGTACGGTTCCCGTGGGATAGGTTTGTTTTTTTCCTATAAAAATAATCCACTTTCAGTCGGAACAGTCGACGGTCGTCAAGGACGTGGAGCTAGCGCGGTTCTGCCTCGCGCTGCTGTCGGTGAAGGGGCGCATGTTCTCGGACGGCGCGCTGCACACGTCCGTGCTGCTCGTGGACTGCACGCTGGACGACACGCGGCCGGGCCGCGGCGCCAAGATAACCAGGTTATTGTTTAATATTCTCTTAGATTTACGCGAATATTTGACATTTTTAATAACACTATCTTTTCGTTTTTTTTCGCGCATTTATATTGATTTTTGGTTCCGGACGTTTCGAATGCTTTGCAGCAATATATAGTTAGCATTATATAGTTGCTACAGACAACCAGCCTACTTATAAAAAAAAACAAAAATGGCACCAAAATACCTTACAATATTTGTTAATTTTAATTTTAAACATTTTTTATACTTTTAATCAGTTTTATAATTGAACATCAATCAACTTTGTGGGTAGGCTGTCTGTAACAACTATATAATGCTTCTGAGACGTCTCAAACCTTAATCTCTCGAGTGGCTATGATTGCTGTAAAGCATTCGAAACTTCTGAAACCGAAAATCAAAATAAGTCCGCGAAAAAATCCAAAAATAAACGTTTTATTTAAAACGAGAATAAAAACGGTAATGCCAAAACAAGTATCTTTGATTACTTACTGGGAAGGCTCAGCATAAAATATTGTAACTACAATTATTATTATTAGTATTATTTAAAAAAAAAATATTTATTTATTAAATGCTTTCTATAAGTGTAAGAATTTTATTGTTTTGCTTTTTGATTTCAACTATTTTTGACGTCTCAGAAAATTTATAAAATAAACATTGTTGTTCCTGCGGAATATTATTTTGATGCATGAAATTATTTAGAGACGCTACTTAGATAATATATAGATAACATGTTCTATACAATGCCACAGTGTAAATACATCTTTTATCTTCGTTATTAATGTCAATTTTTTATTAATAAATAATATTAAGTTTATAAACGTCTTTAATTAAGTACTTAAACATATGTAATAAATGTCCAGGTATCTAGAAAGACGAGGTGATAAACAAGACAACAAATATAGCAATGACGAAACTTCCGTAGCTGTCATGGAAACACATGATAAAATAAGGAGTATGATCGACATCACCTACACCATGAAGAATGGCGACACATTTAGTATGTATAGAGTCATCATTTTTGCCGTCATAAACTATTCTTTAATTAAGAGTTACAATAAAGTAATAATATTCTATAATGTAATGGTAAAATTGGTTTCAAACAATTATAGTTTCTATATTGAATTTAAAAACAGAAGAAAATACTATATTATTTTAGTTACTAATTGTTTTTTAATTCTTGCAGTCGATATGAGGATCTTCAGTTTCAATCTGATCCTTGCAATGGATTTCTTGAATAAGATAGCCGAGTTCGCGACCACCGGCCTCGCCCTCGACGCGGCGGACACGCCCAAGGATGAAGTCAAAGTTGTCAAATCACATACTGAGAAGTCAGCTGATAGTGTCACTGTACGTAGTATTTCATAGTAATAAAATTATTTTGTTTATTTTTTTTGATACTTAATAAATATTTAAGATGTATGTAAGATGTATCAAACCATGGGAGACATGTTCACTTTCTCAGGGAATGTTTTTTAATACTCTTGTATGGTGCTATCCAATTTGTAATAAATACTCTTTAGTATTGCAGCCAAAATATAAGTTGACTTATTTTTAATTTTTTTTTATTTATAGAAGAAAAAGGTGTCAGCAGCATCAACACCAACAATTACAGAGCCTCAGAAGTTATCCATGATGACTGTTAACATCAAGATCGAACAGCCTGATATTATACTAGTAGAGTCACTTGAACAAAAAGAATGTGATGCTTTAGTGTTAAATGTGAGTACTAAATGTTTAACATTTTATCTATATAATTATTGCATTTGTGAAATTAGAAGTAAAGGTTTACGTGTTATATGTCCATATTCTTGTTATTCAATGAGCATTGAGATGAAGTCAACATTTAATAATATAAATTCCGACTATACGAGCAACGAAGAAAAAGAACAAAAACATCTTACAAAACTACTTTTACATATATTTTTTATATATTTTCATACATATATTTTTTTAGACTGAAAGGACACCATGGAGAAAGATTTTTCTTACAAAGGGGAAGAACAAATATCAGTAATAAAGAGATGGTTATATAAATACGATGATTGTCACTAATAATGCACGTAGTACATGTTAATATAAGTTAATTTTATTTAAGTAATAGTTTGATATAAGCGATGTTTCCTTTAAAATATCTCGGAAATGTGACGTTTGAGCACATTAAAATGCTGATACTTTTTATGTTTTAAGTATCCTCTATCCACAAATACCAACTTTATCGCGGGCTGCTATTTTGAGAAAGGAATTATTATAATAATTGGCATCGATATTGCGTATTATATAAAATTTAAAAAATTACATAACAAAAGATCATCATAAAAATTACATTAAAAAAGTCATCAGATCTAAGTGCATTTTTTCGTATCGTTTTTAGATGGAGATGCGGCTGAAGTTGCGCAGGACAGAGGAGCGCCTGGTGGCGGAGGGCGGCGTGTCGGGGCTGCAGCTGGCGGCGCGGCGGCTGGGCGGCGCGCGCGCGCGCCCGCTGCTGGCGCCCGCCGACCTGTCGCTGGCGCTGGCGCAGCCGCCCGGCCGCGGCATGCACCTCGACATCGCGCTCACCGACATCAAGATTACTATATCGCCAGGTATTACTTGACCCGACGATTTACGACAGGTTTAGCTTATTGAGGTGTCTGCCCACTACACCGTCTCATACCATGACCGTGCTATGAACGTATCAGGCACGGAAACGAGCATGACACGGACTACTATGCCCACTAGACCGTATCAACAGCGTACCGGCACCGGCAAAATATTCATAATATAATAGAGAAATTTATCTATATAATATAACTTTCTGTTTTTTTTTATTTTCAGAAATTATGGCCTTGCTAAATCGCGTTCTAGCAACAGTGACCAGTCGAGAAGAAGATAATGTAGAACAGGAGAATAAACCTATAATATATAAAAATCTATGGGAAATACAACCGTTCAAACCCAGCTCCTATTGGTTCCTAAAAACCGGTGAGGACTTTTGAGACTTTTATATAATATAATAATAATTCTCGTCTTTAATTTTAGTATGACCATTTATGTAAAAGGATATATAATCATTTTAATAACTATTTTGTTATTCAATTGTAGAAGAAGCTCAAGAGGCGATAGATGCCGAGGAGAATACGTCTGAAGCAGGCACACACCCAGTCGGTGAGATATGCCTTCTATCCAGCCCGTCTATTGTATTGGCTTTGGAAATGGAGATCGGTAATGAGACCATTCCGGTGCTCGTCATGCAAGCGTCACTCACTGGTCAAGTTAAAGATTGGAGTTCTGACGTAAGTTTTCATTTATGGTCCTATGAGGATGAAAATATTTTAGACTAGAATTAATTTAGATGTTTAAATAATAATATCCTGTTCTATTCTGTGATTATGTTCAAAGTATGTATATATTATGTAGTTTTTTTTACGTTGAATAAATACTGTATATAGCATTAAAGTAAGAAATAACTACGTCGAATGACATTTTTGGTATATTATCGTTGTCTTATACCTTGTAAATATATATTCGTATACAATGCAGTGTTATTTGATATTTATTTATCCTAATAGTTCTATATGGAGTCAACGTGGGCTATGCAAGTGTCGTACTACAACATCGGGCGCGCCATGTGGGAGCCTCTCGTAGAACCCGTCGAAATATTAAAGGATTCCCAATATAAACATGTGCCGTGGGAGCTTAAAATGGAGGTACGTGAAGATTCATATTAAGATATAATTATTATTGTGTGATTAAAATTTTAGATAAAAATGTATTATTGTATATTTACTTATATATAAGTAAAAATTATTTTTAGAAAGTTAGTCTATTATCACTATTTATATTTTGCTGTAACTCGCAACTAGATGGCCTTGTACCGAATCGACGTCTATAATATGCCACTAATTATGGTGAAATCGGCAAATACGAGTATTTAAGTATGGAGAATACTTTCCCATTTTATTTTGACAACTTTAATGTATTGGAAATGTAAAAATAAACCAAATCAGCCCAAACAAAAGGGGTTGCTAGAAGCCATTAAGGTGTTCTACTAGCTACAAGAGAATCCAATAAAAGCATATTTAAAAAATGTTTGAAATAATGATAAATACATAATAATTAAATTTAATGTAACTTGTTTCGATATAATTTGCTAAATTTAATTTATTTATATTATAAGTTAATTTATTTTATTGTAATTATATTTAGTTAATCATTAAATTAATTATAACATTAAATAAAAATATTCATGAAATCAAACTAAATTGTTTATAACGAATTTTTTGAATTTCATTTTAAAATTAAATTTTTATTAAGTAAAAGTTTTATTACTATTTATTATTATTTGACGACTACGAACGTAGCCAAACGTGTCTCTGCTTGATGTGCCAGCGGGCGCGGGTTCGAGTCCTGCTGGGGGCATTCATTTGTGTGATAAGCACGAATGTTTGTACTCCAGTCATGGTAGTTTATATTTAACTATTTTAATATATATATATATATATATATATATATATATATATATATATATATATAATGTATGAACTATCTGGTATCCATAACACAGGCTTCGTAGCTTACCATGGTAACTAGATGGTGCTGTGTGTTAATGTCCCAACATATTTATTTACTTATTATTATGTGGTATGAAACGATGCGTCGTGGCGCAGGTGGTGATGCGGCCGCAGGAGGCGGGGCCCAGCATCGACACGACGGACGAGGCCGCCAACTACCAGGCGGCGGCGCAGCGCCTCGCCGCGCGCAGCGTCACCGTCTCCTGCTGCGAGCCGCTCGAGCTCACCCTCACGCGTAGTGGCATTGAGGTACAAGCGTGCGCGTATTTTCTACTTTTTTATGTTTAATGTTCTCTGAGGGATGGTAAAATAGCAAATTATGTAATTTGAGGATTTTTTAAAAACACTTTTCTTGCTAATAGGCGAAGGTAAAGTTTAATAATTATTTACTCTACCTGAACTATGCGTCGAAATGTTCGGAATTTGCTTCAAGGAATTTCCCTAAAAAGCGTGTGAAATAATAGAAAATATCAGCCTTCTTTAGTCAAATTTTGTTCACATAAATGTCTCCTAAAAACAAAATAAAGTTAATTTCTTACCCACAAAATAAACACTAATAAAACAAGTATTTTGTTCCATATTCACGATATTTTTAATATTTGGTATATATTTTTACTGTTTATTAACTTTTTGTTAATGTGTAATGTAAATCCATATACATCATTATTATTTTTTAGGTCTTGACCCAGTTAGGAAACTCTTTCTCAGCCGCAATAGGAGCAGAGACTGACACAACGGTTGTTAATAAATCTAAACTTCAAGATGTAAGGAAAATATTTTAATCTGAATAACTGTATATTATATCATTCAAAAATGCATAGTGATAACCCATTTTTTTTACAGACGTCAGATAAAAAATACTTGGGTGCGCCGTATGTGCTGCACAACTGTACAGGCTTGACTGCTAAGCTTACACTACAAAATAACAACGATTTCTCTGTTTTCCTCACTGAAGAATATACTGCCTCTGACTATCGGTGAGATATTTTTTAATTATTTTATCAATAAATTTGTTTATTTAATTTTGTATTTCTTTGTTAATTTAATTAATTGTGTAATAAACTGTTATTAGGGAAGTTGTATTGGAGCCAGGTGCCAGTGTTCCACTGCAACTGAAACATGGTGGCCTTAACATTATGAAATTAAATGAACCTCCACCACCGCTCAAGTTACAAGTAAAGGTAAACAGACAAGTATAATTTTCTTTTAAATTTTAATATATGAATTAAAGAGAACATAGAGTTAAGAGCTATAATGTATGCTTTACTCTACTGCTTTTACAGTACATTATATTATTCTCTTTACATATTCTCAGCTCAGATTCAAGACTAGTTCAATTCAAGTTTATTGTTAATGGCTACAAAACTTCAATACTAGTTTCAGTCCGCGGCTACAATCGTATGTAGGTATATCAATACAAACCAATTTGAATTACACTCAAATCTTTTGAGTCGTTACAGCAGGAGCAACTAACAAAATAGTGCTTTTAATTGTATGTGAATATAAATTCACTAGCGAATCACCCTCGCTTCGCTCGGGTTCGTCCCTAGGTTGATTCTCCATACAAACTTTCATCCCCATTTTCCTCCTCTTAAGGGGTGATTTCGGGGATAAAAAGTATCCTATGTCCTTCCCAAGGCCTCAAACTATCTTCTTACGAAATTTCATCTAAATCAGTCCAGTAGATCCAGAGATTACCCCCTACAACGTCACAAACTCACAATTCACAAACTCACAAATTTTACCTGTTTATAATATTAGTATAGATTTACTCAACCACACACTGGTCGCAATTGTAATATTAGCGTGTTAAATACAGATAGTAGAAATGGAGGACGAGATAACAATCCCGGTTGAGAGGGCGGACAAGCGGTACTTCCCCATCGGCAAGCGCCTGGCGGGCTCGAAGGCTCGCGCGCCGCACGCCGCCGCCGCCGCCGCCGCCGAGCCGCGCGGACTCATCTCCGACGTGGTCATGCAGGACGCCGCGCTGCATATATACTTGAGGAGTATTGTGCAGGTATGTACGTGCACATATAGTATTTACTACTTGAGTGATACACATACATAGCTAATTCATAGTGTAAATAAAAATACATTTATACTCGTAGATGGAATGGAAATGCTGTCAAATGCAAGGTTTCAAAGTTAAAGTTTCATTTCGTGGTGAATTACAGTTATATCCAACCGTAAAGCCGTTTCCCAACTGTCATATAGAAGTAAACATGATAGTCGGGTGCGTTTCACCTGCGTCTCACCCCGAATGATTCTTGTGACGCTCTTGACACTTTCGTTAGACGACTTAATGGATTAGTAAACTGTGGGTAAACTTATATACATGTTATACATATTCTATTAAAACTAAAAAAATCTTAAATTGCGTAATACAATTTACGTGTTATCTTTGATGATTTTTAAGGACCTTTATTCTTTTAAGTTTAGAAGTATTATTATTTATGTTGGGTGTGGTGCCGAGGTCGGCCCTAGCTACGTCGACCAGTTTTGGTCCATTGTAGCTCCCTTTATAGTGAGTTCAAAGTTCTCCGCTTAGTCCTGTTGACTCCAGGAACTTCCAGATTTTCTGAGCGGGGAGCATCTGTATCTCTTCCGGTTGCATAATATGCTGCCCTAGATAGATACTTCTGCGGTGCATGAGTGGACCGCCGTTCAGTTTAGAAGTCACTAATTGTTTTAATTCCTGATCGTTTCCAATCTTAAATAGATTAGTAATAGTAAACTTGTAATCGTTTTAATATGACTGATGAAGATAAGATCACACCAGACATAAGTATGTGAGCAACGCATTTCGGTTCGATGGTCGTTATTATCGGGTTAGCTTTGTGTAGTTCAATAAACTAATGTTGTACAGTCCACTCTACAATTTATTCTCTTTAACCTAGTTAGACTTTCCTACCAGGTGAGGTCTCATCACGAACAAAGAAAAAATAGTTCAAATAAATATCAATAGATGACGTTACATGTATCGTTTTGTTATTAAAGTTGTGTTAAATTAACAAAAAATAAAAAAATAGATTCCAAAAAAGTATTTTATTGTTTTAAAAAAATATATTTTTAGTGTACAGAAACGAAATAATACGCATGTAAATCAAATTGACTTAATTTTACTGATTATTGAAATATCAGCAGTCACATGATGGGTTTGTAGTGTATATTCTCCAGATGGCGCTTTTACTTTGTATGAATAGTTTATCACGGTTAAAAATGGCTAAAATCGCTGATTTTTTTCTTCATTTGAATGTAGGATGAATTTTGCGATATTTATCATATGTTAGTTTGCAAATATTTATAACATAAAACAGTTTAAATAAATTGCGAATCAACGACATCTATTATCTATTCAAGCAAACAAAAATAGCCTGAATTAGCGCTGCCCAATGTCTTTGTATGTGATGAGGCATCTGTACTAGGTTAGTATTATGACGTGATCTGTGATACAAGATACTGAACAAACTATGTACATGCACAGGTAACAAACGAGCTGTCAGTGAACGTGTCGGTGTACTACATGACGGAGAGCGGCAACGAGGTGCGGCTGCTGGGCGAGGTGGCGCCGGGCGCCACGCTGCGGCTGCCGCTGCAGGCGGTGCACACGCCCACCGCTGAGATATTCTTCTCTGTTGAGGGTTATTGTTGGATTTTTTAAATTTGCTTTTCTTTAAAAGTTTGTTTCGATGGCTAGAAAATTAGTACTGGCCAGTCTGTAACAATGGAACGCCATAGGATAATTTAATACGAACTAAAATACCTCTACCGTTCACGACGAATCTAAACTACAAAACTTTAAGAGGTGGTGAAAAAGCCTGTATTACCCACTCTGTATAACCTATCAAACATAATTTATTCTGAGATATGAAACTTGACTCTTGATCATACATTATTTGACTCCTCTGATTTTGGGATTAGGAGTAATTATTATTTAATTAGTTTTCCTTTATCCCAATGTGACTGTTACTTGATAGTTAATACAGAGTAAGAAATATTGTTGAAATGCTTATTATAAATACTGTTGTGAGTTTATTACTTTAAAATGAATTTTGTAAGGGACGCTATTAATATTATTTTATTTAAAAAAACCGCCATGTGTTTTTTTTGTATTCATGAAATACAAATATTTATTAAATATATTTTTTTAGGTTTCACGGTGTCAGTATCGCCATTCATATGGCGTGAGTTGCAACAGGAAGTTAAAATGTCGAAATTATTGCAATGCGACTCCAAAGATAAAAACAGCGGAGAGAAATTCTATTTACGGGTAAAAATATTTAAATCTTCCTTTTTTACTTTTAGTAATTATATATTAGTTAATGAATAGGTATCGTTTATGTAATGAAACTTGAAAATGAAGCGCTTTTACGCTCGAGGAGACGATTTTTTGAGACTTAATTTATTTTAGATAATCCCTCTTTTTAAATGAAAATTTTTAATTAAAAAAAAGTATAAAAATACGTATAGTATTTTTTAAAATAAGCTTTAGGCTAATCCAAAAAAAATACTGTACAATACAAACAAACACAAGCTCAGCAGGTACCTTAATTTATAATAATATATAGATTACCTAAAAGTGTGAGAGCGTACAATAATATATTATGTATGTGATCAAACAGTAGGTTATGTGTGTATGTATACTGTATATACTCCACGTCATAATCTATCTCTGTGTAGTAAATTTCATTCAAATTCTTCCAGCTCACACTTAATAAACAAACTTTTGCAATTACAATAGCTGGGTGATGTATGTATGTATGATATTTTCTAAATTCAATACTACGTATAATTGGACGTAGTTATGCAAAATAGATCCAACCACAAAACTCACTTTTGAGAAAATAGGAGTTTTAGTAAATATGGTATGTTTTGGTAATTATGGTTTTAGTATATATTATTAAATTCCTCTTAAATATTGGGTACTTTATTTTCTTTCTGTGTATAAGTCGATATGTAGGTGCGATTTATGACAGTAACTCAAAAAACGGTTTTCATGAGCCGGATCCATTTTGCATGACTATGTCCAATCGACTGTATCGCAGGCGGTGGGTACAATGGAGCAAGTGTTCTTCGAGCACAGCACGCGGCACACGTTCGCGTCGGCGTGCTACGACGTGGCGCTGCGGCCGGCCGTGAAGCTGCAGAACTGCCTGCCCGTGCCCGTGCGCGTGTCGCAGCTGGGCCTGCAGCGCACGCGCCTCTTCCGCCCCGGCGAGATGTTCCACCTGTCGCACCTGGCGCCCAACCGCGCCTCCGTCGTCGTCATGGTGAGCGCGCACTGACCTGTCCGTTAGCTTACTACGAGTATGTCTACTGTGCAGCGATAGTGATATTCACATAATATGTACTTCCTACTGCTACTACTAATCTTCTATATAAATGAATGTTCTTATGCGCAAAACTCGATAACGGTTGGACAAATTAGCCTAGTTTTTTGTTGCAAGTATTCGCTGAAGTCCGGGAAAGGTTCTTATGAAAAGAAAAATTAGAAAAAATCACGTATAAACGTAAAAACAACATTTTTATTTTTCTTTACTACTACGAGTACATTATAATTATGAACGCAATCTTAAAATTAATATAAACTACTTGAATGCATTTGTATATTTGACATTTTCTCTTTTTACGATATACAATTTGACGTTGATTATATTTGTTTATTTGTTTGTCCTTTTTTCACGTTGAAATAAAGTATCAGATTGACATGATTTTGTGTGAAGATAGAGAGCTGGAGAGTGACATAGGCTACTTTTTACCATGGGAGATTATTTCGTTCCTACGGGAAAACAAGTTATATCTATTCCACACTAACCGTAAAAACGTACCTAGGGACGAACCTGAGCGAAGCGAGGGTAAGTCGATAGTACATTCTATAAAAATGTATTTTTAATTTTTATGTTTAATAGAACTTGTAAATGGACAATATCTAATTTTTCTTAACTTTTGTTTTATTATTTATTGTAATAGAATATAAACGGTAGTGAAGTACATTGTAGGTATTGTAAATATTAATGTGTTTTCACATGAAAGGTTTATACATTTTTTTTTTCAACATTCAGAGGCAATATCAAAGAATTGTTAAAATAACATTATGTTATTTAACAACACTGGATTACTGATTCACAAAAATAATTTGTCGGAATTGAACAAACAACATCCAACATATCATTACAAACTTTGACGTTTAATATGTTACATATCTGAAATTCTTCTTTTGTATTTCAATTATTGTAAGTAGTCCGATATGGCTACTAATTTTACGCCTTAATTAGTTTATTATATGAGTGGGCTAACTATAAGCTTGGCATAGATCGAGAACTACCTGGAGAAGTGCTGGGTGTGCACGCAGCAGCTGCCGGAGGCGGGCGCGGAGCTGTCGGTGTGGTCGTTCGAGTCGCACGACTCCCCGGCGCTCATGTCGCTGGAGCTGGGCGTGCACAGCGTGGACACGGACGGCACGCAGATGCTCTCCCTCTACTGCCCCTTCTGGATGCTCAACAAGACCGGCTTCACGCTGTGCTACAGGGTTAGTTTTTTTTATCTTAATATAATGAACTGTTTCATTTTTCTATTTTACTCGGATTATTTGTTTGTTTTATTGTTTTTGGGTCCTGTTAAGAGTGTTATAAAGTAATCATGGTCATGGGGAGGTGGTCATGGAAAGAGTCGATCGTCGATCGAAGAAGAGTGATCATGAATTAAAATATATTCACAAGAAAATCCGAAAAAATAGTTTTATTTAAAATTTAATTTAAAGGAAATCTCGGAATGTGACCTAGTAGTTTATTCTATGTAATTATGTGTTATGATAGTTCTGTTTAATTATAATAAATATAGCTCAAGACAGTCAATTTTATATAATAACTATAATGATATTGGTATGTACATATAAGTAAGTACGTTACAATACATCTACATAGTTAAAAGTTTTGGCTACATATATCAAAGTAAGTATAGGCTACAAATATCAAGTTTGTATTTTACTAACAAAGTAGTTAAAGCATACTTCATGTGTTGTATTTTTTGTACCTTACGCTAGGCACATCCTAAAAATCATCCTATCATTAAATTGTTACAAGTAAATAAAAAATTAGGTACTTTGAACTTTTACAAAAACATATTATGAACTTACGATTCTACAGGAATAGATATTAATTTTGAAATAAAATTTTACTTACTTTAATCACGTTAAAAAATATCGTCTTTTTATTTCCATTGGATTTGGAAAAAAAGATACATTTCTCAGTAAAATATACTTTATCTCTAAATTCAAACGGCCGTATAATGCTTGCAGAAATCAAAGAAACCAGAAAAAGAATCCAGCACTCCCAATAAGGTACCTTTGAAATGGCTTAGAGCGTTTGCAACTAGTATTTTTACCTTTAAGCCAATATGCTTTTTTTCAGTTTTAATCGATTAGTTCATAACAAGTGTAATAGCATAATTCATATATAGCAAAATAACAGTTTTCTGTATTTTTTATATTTTAAGTATATGTCGTAACTTATTTTTTTATTATTTAATATTTCTTGATTTATGCACTATCATTAACTCGAGCATCCATATACTAGCATGATCGGTATGGCCCATACGTCGTATTTTTGATATCTTTATAAATTATATACATATTTTTATCAGCTTATTTGTAGAATATGTACATATCTATATTACAGATAAAACATTCTCGTTGCAGTAAATTTATTAGACGCCATACCTCATGTTTGCCGGTGAGTGCAAACAAATCTTAACACCACATTATTTCTATTGGTATATGAAATAGTTTTACAGTCACTTTTATATATAATTAGGGTTAATTATGGATCAAAATGTTCATCTAACAACATTAACGCTTTTCTGTAATATATGTATGTTTATAAATACATATAATTAACTGCATTTTTTGCATGCTCTTTTTGTTTTATTTTGTTTTATGAAATTATAAATTAATTTGTAAAAGAAACAGATAACATAAAATATTCTTTTAAGTTTTTCTATTTTGGAATTGGAGGATAAGCACTATTCGCTTTCTGAACACAACAATTTTAAATGGTTCCGGTTTCATGTGATAACATGTGATACAAATAACTCACGATGCATTTAATTTACAGAACATAGACGATGGCAATGTAATCTTTCATCCGAAAGATTATAAGGAGCCGATATTGTTCTCGTTCCGTGCGAAGAACTTCTTTGGTAAGAAGAAAGCCGCGATTCGAGTGGAGTTTGGTGAATGGTCGGACAAGTTTTCTTTAGACGTTCCCGGTAGTTCGGGCGTCGTGATTTGCAAAAATGAAAGCAGAACTTATCAGGTACATTTATTAATGTCGTTTTTTTGTGTACTTAACTAGATTAAGAAGAGAATTTAACCAATATGTTGAGTAAACTTAAATAAGGCATACTGCATCTAATTACTCTCATCAGTGTAATTTATTCTAATGTCGTTGAGAAAATTTGTAACGTAAACTTTGTATAAGTTAGTATATTAAGAATTTTATTTGTTTTAGGTGGCTGTGACGAATCAACTGACTTTTAACAGCTTAACCAAAATGGTTATTTTCACGCCGTTCTTCCTTATTATAAATGAATGTCCATTCCCAATACAATATCAAGAATTACACAGACCAGCAGATCCCTGGCAGGAGGTACTCTAACGTATATTTTTATTTATTCTAAAATTAAAACCTCACGTAAAATATTAAAATAAGTTCTGGGTTCGAGTCCCGGGTGAAGCTATCAGTCCTGCGTGCACATTAGTTTGCGCGCGGTGAGATTGACTGTGGCTGAAATCGGTCAGAAGGATTCATTAACTTACACTTAACTTGTAAGTTTGTAGTTAATACATCTCTATAATATGGATCTCTTCAAGTCGTCTTCAGGTCCCTTAAAGGCCGGCGACGCATTTGCAACTCCTTTTAAGTTGTAGATTTGTAAGCAGCGATAGCCACTTATCATTAAGTGGATAATTCGCACGTTTGCCTTTTTTTATATACGAGAACAGTCTGAGTCAACTATCGCGACCCCAAATGAAGTTTGAAAAGGAGTGGGAGGAAGTAAAGTCTAATGTTTGACAACACATTTGGCTCAATTTGTAGTGACCCTACTTGCTGTGCCAGCGGTCGCGGGTTCGAGTCCCGCTCGGGACATTCATTTGTGTGATGAGCATGAATGTTTGCACTCCAGTCATGGGTGTTTATATTTATTATATGTATGTATTTAAAGTTATATGTGTGTAGTGTATGAACTATCCGGTATCCATAACACAAGCCTAGTAGCTTACCATGTAACTAGATGGTGCTGTGTGCTAATGTCCCAACATATTTATTTATTTATTATTAAGTAAAAACTAACAAAGAGCAATGGTCCAGGTGGAGCAGAACACTAGTTCGCCGCTGTGGCCGGTGGTGGAGCGCGAGGACAAGCTGCTGCTGCTGCGGGTGGCGGGCTCGCGCGACCACGCCGCGCCCTTCCTGTACACGGAACAGCTCTCCGTCTGCCTGAAGCTCAACAACGAGGTTATTATTTTAATACATATACTTGTGATCACTGTCAATAGTGACACATGTCACTAGCTTGATTCCCCATACAAACTTTTATCACCATTGTCACCCCTTTAAGGGACGATTTCTGGGACAAAAAGTATCCTATGTCCATTCCAGGGTCTCAAACTATCTTCCCCAAAACCACCAAACCAAATTTCATCGAAATCGTACAGTAGATCCAGAGATTACCCCCTACAACGTCACAAACTCACAAATTTTACCTCTTTATAATATTAGTATAAATTGTCACCGTTCTAATTCACTTCTTAGGAAACTCAGTAGTTTTTCGCCGGCTCTTCTCATCAGAACTGCCTTCCAAGCCGCTGGTACATTCCTCACGGACTTGATAATGACATTTAATTTACATTTCTAATGTAAAATTGACAATTCAAAGGTGATTTTAGAAGTCTATTTGAATAAAGTATAGTTTGATTTAACTGCCTCGGTGGTGTAGTGGCTAGCATGTACGGCTGCACACTCGGAGGTCCTGGGTTCGAGTCCCTGGTCGGGCCAAGTTTAGTTATTGAGTCTTTCTGTATAGTAAGTCTGTAACAGCCCGGAGTTGGGAAGTTGGCGGTGCTTCACCCCCGTGCCTCGAAGAGCACGTAAAGCTGTCGGTCCTGCGCCTTAACTCTCACCGGTCGTGTCGAGCAGTCGTCCCACCGGAGTATGAGAGTGATAGGAATAGAGAGTGCACTTGTGTCTGCGCGTACACTTGAGCACTATAATATCTCCTGCGCAGTTGGCTAGTCTCAATGAGATTGGCCGCCGTAGCCGAAATCGGCTAGGAGAACATCATCATCATATAATTTCATATGCATTTAGTAAAACGCTGTTATTTTGACATTAGAAACAGACACTACAATTTTATTTATTTGTATAGATTATAGAGTAGGAAAATCTAATAAGAATATTAACTGTCCCCAGTACGGCGGGCTGCACGTGGAGGTGCAGCTGAGCGAGGGCGGCACGTACGTGACGGTGCGCCAGTACCGCGCCGGACACGCGCCCGCGCTGCTCGTCAACTGCGCGCCGCACGCCGTGCACGTGTTGGAGAAGGAGAACGTCAATGTGCGGTGAGTACCGCCCTCTCCGTTAGGGGATGTTCTTAAATGCCTCAGTAAATAGTAATCTAAAGTCTGTTTTTTAATCTCAGAGACAAAACTGACATTACGTGGGTTGCCAGTTTTTTTGCAATTCTTAAATAGTGATTGTGTAAATAGAGCGTGTAAATTAACGTTAATAAAATCATGTATCGTTTTTTTTATAATAAGTTATATTGAAATAATGTGTATTTACTTATTTGAAACGTAATAATACAAAATTAAAAATGTAAATTTAAATGTATTTTAATGATACTTAATGATTTAAAATTAATAACAATGGTATTTAATGATCTAACATAAACAATATGAATTTTAACGATACGCTTTGAATATAAAATTTTGAAGCGAATCGTCTAATAAAGATAAAAAGTTATGATATAACAAGCCGGTATCGTAGGTACAACACTGCACAAAAGAGCTGGCAACATTATTTGTAAATTTGACATTTGCATGTGTCAATTTAGTCTCTGAGATTAAAAAACAGACTATAGTGGCTAGCATGTATGGCTGCAGAGCTGGTCTGAAGTCCTGGGTTCGAGTCCCGGGTCGAATGTTTCTGTTAAGAAATTCTCAGTGACAGCCTAGAGTTGAGAAGTTACGGTTTGTACTGTGTATTTTTCAAAAAGTTTATTTCATCCGAACTTTTTTTTTTGGTTTGTTTTTCTGTTATATTATGTTCTGATATCTGAAGAAAGTTCTCCATTTTAAATGTATGCAAAATATTACAACGAAATACATTTTACACTTAACAAAATAAAACCTCATAAAATATTGATAACGCCATCTATGAAACAGTATTACGCATCACTTAATTAGTAAAAGTATGGAAATTTGATTTAAAATAGCATTATTTTATTTTTCTTAATAAAAGTATATTTTAAATCCAGAGTATGTTATTTTGGGATTTACATACACTTACCTTAACTTTATTTATTATGTTTATATAAATATCAATAACAATATATTTAAATCTAAATAACGCCATCTGTTTGAACGTTTTACTGGTGAAATTGATTTATTATTTATTTATTTAAGCCAAATTGAAAAAAAAAACAATGTAAAATACACTACATATAATAAAACGAACGATAAGTAGCTCAGACGTTATTTATTATATCTTATAACAATCAATACATCAGTTTTTACGTGTCTGAATCTTCGATTAACAATACTACTTACTAGATATTGGGTCGGTGTAAGAAATCCGTCTCGGTAAATATAAACTTCCTTGCAAAGTGAGCGTATATTTCGATTAGTTCTATTGAAACACTGCCTACGTAAACACGTTCACAATGCTGCAATATATATTTATAAGTTGCAAAAATAATGCACGAAGAAGAATTTTTTCAGACGGAGAGTGTCTTATTTTCGGTAAATACATGTAGATTAAGTAAATATTTAAAGATTTAATCTACGACATAATATAAAAACTAAAATTTCGAACAATTTTAAATCCGCTAAGAACGTTGGCCCAGGTCAATCAAGGCATCAATCAAACAGAAACAAAACATAACGAATTAGCTCAAAAAGCAACAACGGGAAAAAGTGCTTTTGAGTTTTTGATATGATGATTGATTTTACAATAAAGATTATAAATAAAACTTACGAAATGATCATACGTGATGAAGATAATTTGAAGATTTGTGACTTTAATACAAGGTGATTAGGTTAAAAATAAAACTATTACTTATAAAAGACTTTGTCTTGGTTCGTTAGTATACAAATGAAGCTGTCTAAGTGCATATTGTGTAGTGACAGGATTTAGCTTTGATTTTGTATGTGACACGTTATCTAGTAGTATTGTTGATCGAAGGTCAGAATAATTACTTAATATCGTTTAGTTTAGTTATTTTGAATGCAAACGTTGATAATGTAATTTAATCAAATTAAATTATGAACGTTTGCATTCAAAATAACTAAACAATATACTATAACTTAATATATCACACATACATATATTAAAAGCCACTTCAAATTAAAATGGAATCATGGAATAATAAACGTGGAAAACAAAATATTTACCTAACTTAGCTAACTAGGTAAAGGTAAGTTACCTTACTTACTTACCTAACTTATTGTCTGTTATTTGTTCTGTATTCACACATGTTTAATAAAATAATTTATGAAAATATTTTGTGTAACATTTCAAGCAAATCTTTAATAAACAACTTCGCCTAGAAAAAAGGTCACATACAATTCGTTAATACATAATTCTACATTATTATTATTATGTTGGGTGTGGTGCCGAGGTCGGCCCTAGCTACGTCGACCATATTTCAACATTAATATAATATGTAAATTAATGACACAATAAAATTCACAGAAATAACAAATATCTGTGAGTACTGCACAGTAAGAAACACGGGGCAAAATGTCTTATATTATGCTAAAATCAAGCTAAAACTCTATAAAAAAATCTTGTAAGCAATGCAATAAATAATCGGCAAACCGCCATATTTCTTATTAATTTTATTCAACAAAACAAATCTTTAAAGTCAATAACCTAGTCGGTAGTGGATTGCTCCTTAGCGCAGAATTGGGTGTAGTGCGCATGTTGAGTGGAGTAGGATAGTGGGATATGTCCGCGGCAAAGGACAAAAGTATGAATGAAACTAAATTTTGTATGTGAACGGTAAGCTAGGATACGACGGATAATATACGGCTTACGGCGGCTGTTTCTATTCAGTTAGAATTTTGCGTTGCGTTTGTGATGCGCGTTGGTTTACTCCTCATAACCTCACGTCACGAGTACTTGACTTTCTTATGCGATAATATTTTGATTATTCCGAATAGGTTTGCATAAACGTACTCTAACGATGTTCTAGGATTTTAATTTTCAAGAAGTTGACTTCATCCCGGGATCTTTCAGCAATAACAATTAACTGGTTGTAGTCATTTTTGTCATATTTAATCATTACAATCTTAAATGTATTAGGTATACTATTAAGTAATATTGCATTAATTCGCAAGCTTTATGTAAGCCATGAAAAGTTTTTGCTTCCGTTCTCAGGCGTGTTTTTTATTCGCTAATAATACTTTAACCGGCTCTTATTATCAATCATTTTATGCATTTTATGTATTTTGTCTGCTAAAACTGACTAAACATTACTACTAATACATATTTTTTTAACATAATTTCCTTTATTTCTATCTACCATTCAGCAATGCCTAATTTTATTTGGATTAAATTTTATTTTTATTAATAAATTATTAATAAAATTGTAACTGATCGCTGTCTGTACATGGAAGATATATGAGAAAAACCATTATTGGGGGTCTTTATTAATGCAATAGAACCCAAAACAATGATTTTTAGAATTTTTGTCTGTCTGCGCGTATGTGCGCGCTAATCTCAGGAAAAGCAATGGTGAAGCGCCAATTTGGGTGTGGTTTTCACTATTATATTGTGGCAATCTTCACTTAAAATTTAGTATTTGTGTTATTTCAATCGGTTCATAAATAAAAAAGTTATGTCATTTTAAAGAATCACCTAAATAAAGATATATTACATCAAAATTGTCAAATAATGTACACTTTTAGCTAACGTTTCACTTATTGAAAACGATTATCCATTATATCCTTATATGTAAGATTATACATATTTTCGCAACTTACAACTTCACCAACTTTTCTGATTGTTTCCACAATTTTTGAGCCATATATAAATCTTGAGGCCTAGAACAAAGACTCTTCAGGCGACAATCTTCAAAATAATATCCACTTAATTGTTTCACATCCGGCGATACAGCCAAATAAATTGTTGTTTGAGCCCCTTCCCAAGGTGACTTGAAAAATAAATATTGTGCTAAATTAAACAGTCCTCGTAATATGTACATATTAACTTGATTAGAGATCTGTGTATTGACTGCACCTGGGTGTAAGGCGTTCGCGGTTACACCAGTGTTTTTAAGCCTGCGTTCTAAGTCTGTAGTCATAAGCATCGTACAAAGTTTGGCGTTAAAGTAGACTTTGTGTTTAAATAGAAGTATATTTCTCTCGTTTTCCATATTCAAATCGTCCAAATTAACTTTACCGTACTTGTAAAGCATAGACGAAACGTTGATTATTCGGCTAGGAGCGGATTTTACTAATAATGGCAGAAGAAGAAACGTTAAGAGGAACGGTCCAAAATAATTAATTTGCATCCCCAGTAATAAACCATCTTCAGTCATTTTTATCTCTGTACCATATTGTCCAGCATTGTTTATGAGAATATCTAAACGATCTGTTAATTGTAGAACTTTTGCTACAAATGTTCTTACGGAAGTTAGCGATTCCAAATCGAGTTTAAGCATGTGTACATTGTTATTACCAGAAGAAGAGATAATTTTCTCTTTAGCTGTCTCTCCTTTTTCTGTATTTCTGCATCCTAAAATAACACAAGCACCTCTTTGTGCTAAATCTTTAGCTGTTTCGAATCCTATTCCGCTATTTGCACCAGTAACTATTACCACTTTTCCTACTAAGTGCCCACTATATTTACACATTCCACAAGCTAGCTTGAAATAAGTCCAAACAGAAATAAAAATAATTATTATAACTAATATCGATATTAGAACCAACATGACGTTCGAGCACGACTGCTGCGCCAGTTAGATCAAATCAAAATATACTGTATTCACATCGACTTTTACAAGCTCTTTTGAATCGTCAATGGTCAATGTCAGTCAAAGGTAACTTATAAAATAAGTTAGTAAATAACTTACTGTATATGACTTATACTTACATAATACATTCATTATTATATTTATATTTTATGAAGTGTAGGTAAAATAATAATCTATATATATAAAAGAAAGTCGTGTTAGTTACACTATTTATAACTCAAGAACTGCTGAACCGATTTGGCTGAAAATTAGTGGGGAGGTAGTTTAGAACCAGGAGACAGATATAGGATACTTTTTATCCCGTTCGATTGCGTGTCCGTTGTGACGTGACATAAAACTCAAGAACGGCTAGATATTTGAATTTTTGGATTTCTTAGTTAGTCCGGAATAGGATAATAAATATTAAAACATCAGAAAAATTTACGAAAAAAAAAAATTTGTATGGCTAACGCTGGCTAATAACAATTTATATCTATTTAAAACGTACCTAGCGACGAACCCGAGCGAAGCGAGGGTGAGCCGCTTGTTAAAAAAAATACATTATTAAAAACTTTAAATAGATACGCCAGTAAAAAGAAACACATTAATTATGACACACCAGTAATTTAAATATTATACAGACATGTTTTATGACATCGTATTTAGTTCTTATAAAATTCTAAATAAATCCTTGGGGCGTTTAAAAAATATATAATGATAAAGAATTAATTAATTAAATGATTCTGCTTACAATTAACAGGTTTATAATATATATTTCTATTTAGTTTACCTATAACGAGACGTGTCCGTGTTGATCGTACGTGCAGATAAAGCGATGAATATTATATAATTATTATACAAACATTTACTGCATATCATTTTTAGAAAAACAATTCATCATGCAGATTATCGTAGTCGTGTTTTTATGTATGCAGTACGAAGTCCAGAGACTAGTTGACTACGATACTTTAGATTCATGGTTGAATACTACTAATAAAAAAGAAATCCCGGTTTTACCTAAAAATAATTTCGTTTTCTTTTAAAATATCATTTAACAATAATTGATAAGAACAATGATATGTACTCGTAATGTAATTATTAAGTAGATCCAAGTATATTCCTTATATACTCGTATATACAAATAAACAAACTCATTATACCATAAGGTATATTATAAAATAATGGTAACATATAAATAACTTCCAAAGCGGAGGTCAAAGTTATTTAAACCCGAATTATAATAATATTACCTTGAGTTGTCATTTTTTATTCGATTGCGTCGAAACCCAGAAGTTGTGTGTTTGAGCTGTATGTATGTATGTATGCATGTGTGTATGAATGAATGTACATATGTGCGAACCTATGTTCTCTCGTAATTACTTTTAATTATTCTTATCTCATTAGTTTCGACTTAATAACGCGAGTGCTATAGGTTATTATATGCATATTATTACAAAACGGTCAATTGCGAGTTGAACTCGCACGTGAAGGGTTTCGTACCATCGTACAAGATATAACATTATTTTTGCGGCCATTTAGAAATTCTTGTTTTTTTTTTAATTATTTGCTGTTTTAGCGCCAATAGAAATATACACTCTGAAAACTTCAACTCTCTACCTATTACGTCTACGAGGCTTATACTCGAGTACTTGAACAAATAACAATATCCGTTGTATAGATACAAATAATACACATTGCAGTACTAACAAAACGTGGAGTAAAGGTAGCAAGTATTTTCTTGTTATGATGGAGTCCACAGGCTTGAAAAGACACACAGATTGATTTGTCTTACAACTATCCTTATCTATACATAAAATAAAATTGTAACTAAGCCGAATCTGTACATAAAATATTTTTTGGAAAATCTTATTGAAATAAACATTATTATAGATATAGAGGCCGAATCTATAGTTTCTAGAATTTTTGTCTGTCTGTTACTGCATCACAGAAAAACAACTTGAGGGATTTTAATGAAATTTGATATAGTGATAGCTGGTTATCCGGGTCAACATATAGGATACTTTTTACCGCGAGAAAATGTCTCATTTCTGAAAAAATACAAAAACTGCAATGTAACAGTATACTAATATGTAAAACCTAAGAATTTGGTTTTTAATCATCTGAACGCGGGCCAGGGCCGCGGGCAATGCTAGTATTTTATATTAGTGATCTACGAGAAGTTCAAACCATATTTTGTTCATGTTAGGGCCTATGCACACGACTTTTAACACATTGTCGGTGTACGTTCGTCTCACAGTGAATACGTTGTCGACATACACTTTTCCTTGGCCTTTTTTTTAAGTTTTCAGATCAAAATATGTGCAGACGAAGTACCTTGATATTGCGCGCATCGTCGGCATTTTTATAAAACCTGGTGTGTTTAGACCCCCAAGGCACCATCAAAAAGTATAAGTGACTCAAAAAACTAGTCTACCCGAAATATTATTGTAAAATCCAAATGTGTTACTCCACTAAAAGTTTAAGCGATTTTCACATCAATTTGAACTTGTATTACTTATATGTATATTTCAATCTATGTGTATTAAATCATGTTATTAATTTTCAGTGAAATACCTTCTATGAACCAAATGCTCTATACTTGGGAAAATCCCGCCGGACCGCGCATCCTTATTTTCGAAGGGCACAAACGAAAAGAAATTGAAAACGACTTAAGACAAGATGGAATTGGAGATTTTATGTAAGTATATTTTACAGGTAATAATTTCGCAATGCGTATTTCCTTTCACAGGAACTAACTAGTATTTTCATATTATAAAATTCATACAGCAGGCGATCGCCCGTAGATCCGGTCGATAGATGGAAATGCTGTCAAATGCAAGAGTTGTCAGAAAACCTTCTGTACACGTCTGTATGCATTAGAAGACTGTGGGACTATTAAGGGATATGTAATTTTTCCCATATGTAATTGCTTATTTCAACTTTTCGTTATATCCAGGATAAACGAAACCCAACGTGTGTGGTGGGTGTCGTTCCTAGACGGGTTGCAGCGCGTGATCCTATTCACGGATGACGCTATCCTCGCGAGCGGCGCGCACACCATCGGCGAGGCGGAGCCCGTGCACACCGAGCTCGTGTTCGCCATACACGGCCTCGGCCTGTCGCTGGTCAATGATCCAGAGTTCATGGAGATACTATATATTAGTATATCTAAGTATGTTTTTATATTGTTTACCTAAATTGATATAATTTTGCTTATAAATATTTAGCATTTATGTTATTTTTACTATTGTTTTACAGTTCAGGTATAATATGGGAACAATGCAAATTCGGGGCGCGAAGATACAAGAAAATCGAGGGCCCGAAAGCGATCCAACTCGAAGAAGCGTATCAGCATTATCAAACCGAGAAAATGGTTAGCGATACTGTGATACCACCGCAAGTTAAAATAGATGACAAGACTGAGGTTTGTTCTTTTCGTAATTTATCTTTATTTGTAATTTTTTTTCTTGAAAATTTGACTATATCGCATTTTTAGTTTAAGCCTTTTGGCGTAATTTTTGTGGTATGTTCAACCTAAGTGAGTCAATTTACCAAGTTCTGATAATGTATTTACTACGACAGGTGGATTTCGAGGAGTTACGTCTTCTCCGTCCCAACCAGCGCCTGCTGCGGCGCACGCAGGAGCCGGGCGTGTGGGCGGCCGTGGCGCTGACGGCGCACGGCCGGCGCCTGCACGCGCGCCTACACCGCCTGCAGGTGGACCAGCAGCTGCCGCTGCCCACCTTCCCCGTGCTGCTGGCGCCCGTGCCGCCGCCGCGCTCCGTCGCCAACGACGACCCTTCTGGTCAGTTGCACGCTGACACTAGTCAACATACTCTAGGCGATTGCTCGATGTAATGGAAATGTTATTTGTCAAAAACATCAATTTTCATTGCAAACAGTTTTGAAGATAAAGCCAATTACCATTCAAAAATAAGTACACAGTCGGTATTACACCATTTACGTCTCACCCCGTCCTTGCCCATCACGATTACCGTACCTAGACTGTATGGTCTATACAGACGTTTAACCAAATATACTAGACTGTTTGAATACAAATATACTGTGTGGATAGATATAATTGTAACTTGCCAGGACATAACAGTGCCATTATAGTGGTAGAGCTTTAACTTCGAAACCGTTTGTGCAACCGGTTGACTAACTTCCCAAGAAAGGGATCTTAACCAGAGGGGTTTTACTGCAAAATTTGTGGATAGAAACACCCATTCTGACGCGTACTCATTACATAGTTAATACATGGTCCTGCTTCGTAATTTGAAGCCAGAACTAGAAATTTCATATCAAACAATATAATTCCAGGGATAAAACCTTTCATCGAGATATCTATCGTGGAACGCGTAATGGAGCACACGAGCGTGCGCCAGTACAAGTACTACAAGCTGCTCATCCAGGAGTTCCACGTGAAGGTGGACATGGGGCTCGTCAACGCGCTCATGGGCATGTTCCCGCAGCGCCTGCTCACTGAACAGGAGGCGGTCAGTTGAAACGTGGATTGACATTAGAATTTTTCTATTTTTATAAAAAAAATCGTGTTTTTGAAAATTAGACTAAATTAAAACTAAGCCTGATAAAAAAAAGTGTATCTTTTTTTGCTAGTAAAGTAAACTGCGAATGAAGTAAGTTATGAATGTTGACTGCGTAAGGTTATAACTATCATTGCTTGAAATGATTTAAAATATTATGATATTACATTTCTAACATTATGAAATTATTAGCACTATGAAATTATTCTTTGGCTTTTCCCGTTTGGTACTCTTAATAAATCCAAAAAAAGAGTGCTAATCGTGTGATTTATTATTTTTTCCGATTTTTTTTAACAGAAGTATTATTTTTTTGCCCGACATATTTTTTTATTTATTTTAATATTAAATTATCATACTTTCTTGTTTTAGCTGGATGCATTTCAATTGGATATTGAGAGAGCAAGACAACCGCTAGAAGCATTAGCGGCTATAGGCGCAGCATCAGACACGAAAAATTTCTACGACAATTTGCATTTATCACCTCTTAAGGTAACTTGATGTGTATAAAGGCGTGAGGAGGTGTAGTGACTTGAATGAAATTTATAACTACTTTGTTTATTATTATTACGATTAATACGATTAATGATTAATGATCAACATACCTACCACGTAAGCAGATTTGCGAGTAAACACTATTCACTTATAAACTACAAAAGATATTTATTTTGTATTGTTTTTATGTCTAGGTTCACGTGTCGTTTTCGTTGGGTGGCGCTACTCAATTGCCTACTTTTGTGGGCACTTTGCTTCAGAGTATTGGTGTTACTTTAACCGATATGAATGACGTTGTTTTTAAGTGAGTGATTTTATTATTGAAATAACCGTATGATAAAGCTATATGATGCCGGGGTAAATATTATTATTCTCATTGCATATCTAATTATTTTTGTTATTAAACTATTAAAACTACAAATGATTTGATTTTTAGACTGATTTTTTTAACTTTTATATATATTTTTCTGACGTTATTAATTCTTTTTTATTATTAAAAAATACTAAATATTGTCACAATAAAATTCTAATCGACTTTTAATATGATACCACGAATTATACTTAATGCTTTATTAATATATATATTAAATGTAATAAGTAACATATAAACGCACAGATTGTCATACTACGAGAGAAACTACGAGTTCCTCTCGCAAAAGGAGCTGATCAGCCAAGTGCAGAGCCACTACACGGGGCAGGCGCTCAAGCAGCTGTACGTGCTGGTGCTCGGCCTCGACGTCATCGGCAACCCCTACGGGCTCGTCATCGGCCTCAAGAAGGGCGTGGAGGACTTATTCTATGAACCTTTCCAGGTATCATAACTTTGATTTTTTATTATTTATTATATATTTATTGAATTAACTTATTATTGTTAATGCTCGAGTGTAATTAAAATTATGGAAGTAAGTTTAATAAGTAAGGTAAGCAATTAGAGTTAAATAATTATTATAATAGTTCCCTACTGGACTAGTAGGAACTGAGGATTCGTTTTTTTTAATCAATCAATAGATGAATCATCAAGGTCCTCGATCTATTAAAATTTAATTTATAAAAAATATTAAGAAATTTGTCAATTCATAAAAGTACCTTAATCTAACATAGACTAAAAGATCCAAAAAATCTAAAATTGGTTCTTTTGGTTTATGGTATATTTGTAACATTCTTGAAATACAAATCAATTAAACTTATTAATTAAACTAACCCTTTTAGGTAAGGCTTTCTTTTAGGTATCGCATATTTGGTACTATGAGAAAAAATAAGTTACTATTTATAAAAGGTGTATGAACAATGAAATGCATATTATACATACATAAATATGTATAACCTACGGGTGTCGTGTGCAGGGCGCGATCCAGGGCCCGGGCGAGTTCGCCGAGGGGCTGATGCTGGGCGTGCGCTCGCTGCTGGGGCACACCGTGGGCGGCGCGGCCGGCGCCGTGTCGCGCATCACCGGCGCCATGGGCCACGGCCTCGCCGCCTTGTCCTTGGACAAGGTCACATACTACTATCCTACTACATCCATACAAACACATTGGACAGCGCTAATTCGGCCTATTTTTGTTTGCTTGAATAGATAATAGATGTCGTTGATCCGCAATCTGTCGAACATTTTATTTTATTTTGTGTATAATAAAATATGATAAATTTTGCAAAATTTATCCTGATTTTAATTGGATACATTTCAAAAACAGTTTTTAACCGTGATAAGCAAATCATAAAATATATATCACTTCCCCATACAAACTTTTCTATTTAATTGACATTATGATATGACGTATTGTCTGTTTGAAGTTGTGAACTGCGGCTGAAGAACTGAACGTCATTATGTCACATTCACCCACTCACTTTTCACATAAAGAGATTAAAAAAAAACTGATGTTAGTAAAAAGATCTTTTTTTGTCTTTTAATTTTCTTCTATACAAAGCTTGTCCTGACAATGACAAACAAAAAAAAAAATACAATTTGGCGCATTCGATCGGAAGTTATGCGCACATGTATGCATGCATACATACTTCGCAATACAATCACTTTTACGGATTTATTTTTTATTTTTTGTCAATTTTACTACCAAATTGTCTGTATCTGCATATATGTGCAATCTGTATCTGCAAATTGTCTGTATCTGTATATATGTTTTTTATAATGTAATATTTGACAGACTTCAAATAAGGAAAAGCTAATTTGAGCGTATGCGTTTTCGCGTGTATGCGATATTTTACAATTGTTAACTGTCACCTTGTCGGGTTATAAATAGTTTTACTTCATAGATTTCAAGAAATACTCTACACCTAAAGGTGGATAAAATAGTAACTTTTAAAATAAGAATGATGTGTTGTACAATAATGATATTTAAATGATGTTGCATGTATTTTGCTTTTGTACAGGATTACCAGAGACGTCGCAGAGACAATATCAACAAACCGCCTGCAAACTTACAAGAGGGACTCGCTAGAAGCGGCAAAGGACTTGTTATGGTATGAGCTGCTATTTACTGTTTAAGTTTTAAAATATAATGTTTTACTTTATTTTTTTTATTTTTTTTGATTCAAATTAATGGCTTTAGGTTACTTCCAGTATAAAAATGTGTGTAAAGAACGGTTATATAATATTAAATATTTCCTTATTCATGAGAAAGTTAATCGATATATTCACAAACAATAACTCGTTCGATACTTCGAGAGGGAATCGAATCTATGGCCTTTATCTTACTAGCAATTTATAAACAAACGAACAGGGCGTAGTGGACGGCGTAACGGGCGTGTTCACGAAGCCCATAGAGGGCGCGCGCGAGCAGGGCGTGGAAGGGTTCTTCAGGGGGCTGGGCGTGGGCGCGGTGGGGCTGCTGGCGCGCCCCACCGCCGGCGTCGTGGACTTCGCCTCCGGCTCCTTCGACGCTGTCAAGAGGTGACCGGCCCTTCCGCAGTGCATGCTGGGGGCTTATAGCTTGGCGTCATGTTGATGAGATTCACGTGTTTTTTGCTTTTTCTTTTTTTTATTTGGATTGGTTTGGTTAGGTTTGTAATTAATTTGGTTTGAGGGTGTACAAGTGTATCTATATCTAACACATTCTATTAGTTACATTATATTTTTTGATTCTTATTTTTATAGGATCACCTTTAATATATAGCCTATTCATTAAAAAAAGTAAATAAAATCTGTTTACAATTTGACTAATATTAATCCAACGCTTTGTAGATGCGTAACATGACTTTAAAAATAGTAAAATACTTGGTCAATATTCTTAAAATCTAAGCTTCTAAAGGCTTTACGATTCAATTTGGGATACATTTTCGAGTTAATACGCATTTAAGATCGTTATGAACATCTATACATATAAATAAAATTGAAGTGTCTGTTTGTAATGTTAAAATAAAAGTATATAAAGTACCTATAATCAATCTTAACGGGACTTTCACTGGCAGATAGCTGATGTTATAAGGATTGACTTAAGCTTCTGCTTAGACTTCTATTTAAAAAAAATTAGGGTTCCGCGCAAAATATTTAAAACCAGAATCAGAAGAGGTGTTTGGTAAATAATTTGTATATCGTTTGTATGTGTTTATCGTTTTGAAACGTAAAGTTAATTTTAATTGCACACGTACATGTCATTTTATGCGCGGATAGGACAAAACGGGTCGCGTTAACTAATAAACGATATATAACGATAGAACAGGGCATACAGACGCGCTAGTTAATAAACGAATAAGATACGTAAAGAGCACAGCATAGATATATAATATTAGCACATTCTACTAGTTCGTACATTTGTCTAACGAAGGTTTCTAGATACGGCAATCGTGCGGGGAGTGCGAGGTTTGACGCCTTTCTTTCTTCTGGTCCTGTCATTTAAATTTTGATGGGATGATAATTCGACACGACCAATACGACGAGAGATCAGGGCCGACTGCTTCACATGGTCTTCTTCTTCTTCTTCTTCTTCAGTCCCGGCTTTTTCCGCACTTAGGCATCTTTTCCCGTTGTGCGTGAGCTTGTACTACTGTGTGTGTTATTCTTTCCACCCCAGGGCGTCCCAGTAGTTTAGCAGGCTGCCGGTGTCCTGGATGATTTCTGGGATCGATCTTTTGGGGTCGAGTTTTTCTTCGCGTAATCGTTCCAGTGCACTACATTCAGTCATAATATGAGCTGGTGTTTCATCTTCTTGGAGGCACGCTCTGCAGAGGGCGCTGTCCGTGTGACCTATGTTAAAAAGATGTTTATTGGGTTGGCAGTGTCCTGTTATCAGTTCCACCACCGTTTTTAGTTTGTTGTTGTTCATTGTTAATTGTTTATTTAGTTTGGGGAAGGCTTCTTTCGATTCACGGCAATCTGTATTAGCCTTCCATAATGTGTCAACTGTATTTTTAGTGAAATCTTGTAACCATGTTTTGTATTCGTAATGTGGGATTGGGGTTAGAGGTGTAGGCCCTTGAACTTTTAGTCTAGAGGCCTGTTTGGTTATCGGCTTCACATGGTCTTCGAGGCACGGAGGTGAAACACCGTCGAATTCCCAATTTCGGACTGTTACTGAAACTTTTAACAGAAAGACTCAATAACTAAACTTGGCCCGACCTGGGACTCGAACCCGGGACCTCCGGATTTGTAGCCGTGCATGCTAGCATCAAAAAATAAATAGTATTCATCATGTATAAGTATAGTATCTTAAAATAAATAGTAGTATGTAGTAATAAGTGGAAAAGTTGGGTTATAAGATGTAAGGGTAACGTAGGGCGTGGTGGAGGGCGTGTGCGGCGTGGTGACGGGCCCGCTGCGGGGCGCGCGGGCCGGCGGCGCGGCGGGCCTGGCGCGCGGCCTGGCGCAGGGCGGCCTGGGCCTGCTCGTGCGCCCGCTCGGCGGCCTCGTGGACTTCACCTCGGGCCTGCTCGCTTCTGTGCGAAGGTTCACTACCTAGTCCCTCGTACTTGATCTAATTACACTCGAAAAGTCCTATCCATATTGAGATGAGACTTAATAAATAGACTTGCCATTACCTTAAGAGCTTCTGTGGATTTCATTTTGGGTGTGCTTACGACTTAATACAAACATTTAAATCTATAGGATAGCTCGTATCACACTTAGAGCCTTTGGGAACTTTACCTCGGCATATATCGCGTCTATGTGAAAGTCCATGCTACTCGCCTCTAACACGGCTAAATAAATATAAGGAATTGCCCTTACCGTTCTTAGTCTTTAAAAGTGTTCATATGTATATAGTACAGTTCATATTGGATAACGCTATATAATTAGACACGCCCTTGCTTTTAGAGCGTTTGTGGTCTTCACCTTGGGATTGCTCGCGTCCTTTTGAAAGTTCATGTTAAAAGCCCCTCCGAGCAGCTAAATACTATTACTTTGAGGAAGGGTCCATATTCATATGAATGAACTCATCCTTCGTTATTCGTTCTTAAACAGCAATGTGTGTCACACACTAGTCCCACTGTGTATTTTTTTGTAAATTTTCTATTTTATGAACTCTAATTCTGTTTTACTTCTATTTTATTTGCAAGCTAGCGGTAAAATGCCCTCTAAGTTATATAATAAGGTACTTAAGGCAACCTATTCTGATAACTCTAGAAATTTCAATAGCGCAAATGATTTTTCACATGTAATATGTATGTATTCTATTATTTTATAAAATTACAATTTAAGCAAGATTTTTATAAAATTTAAATTTTTACTACAAAATGAATATAAATAAATAAATATGCTAGGACATTAACACACAACACTACCGAGTTCCATGGTAAGCTACGAGGTTTGTAGTATGAATACTAGATAGTTGATATTATAAATAAAAACACTCATAGAGTACAAACATTCGTGCTCATCACACAAATGAATACCCCCAGCGGGACTCAAACCCGCGACCGCTGACATAGTAAGTAGGGTCACTACAAATTGAGCCAAACGTGTAGTCAAAAAATAATAGGACAAAAGAGAGAGATATATTAAGCACTTAAATAAAATTCATTACCAAACATAAAATGAATGATGATAAGGGAAACCTTACTTAGACGGGGCAATGTGTATCTAGAGTTATATCTTTAACAAATGTAATTGATTCAACACGTGCAATTGAAAACGAGGATTTTGATTCGGGAAAGGGCAAATTTGCTATATTTTAACCATTTTTTGGCGAAGTTGTTAAGTCATAGTTCAGTCAGGTTGTCTTTAGCTATAGTAGAAAGCAATGTAAAATATTATTAAATAATATATTTTATATATACTATCACTACCATAAATAAAATCATAATTTTAATCTTTTATAATTTTATCGTCATGAATATTATATTGAATTTTAAATAACAAAGAAACGCCTAACTGTAAAGTAGATCTATATCGGTCGTCACTCATATCGTATATCTTTGTTTTATTATTAGTAGATGTATTAAGTAAGTAGTACACCGACTTAGCTTTCATTGCATATAATTTTACTGTTAAAAATGCTTTTAAACTTGTGTTATTATGCTTACATATACTAATCTGTGTTTTACTAATTCCCCTCCGAATGCTTCGCTATATGCGTTATAGTAAATTTATAGTGAGTAACATTAATAATAAAATCAAATTATTTAAATGGAAATATGTTTTAAAATAATAGTTGTATTCTATATTGATATAAAGTAATTCTTAAATATAAAAGAAAAAATATAATATGTATTTGTGTTTGTATAATTAAACCTAATGTATAGTAATATGTATGCAACAGAGCGGCAGATTTCTCTGAAGAAGTGACCAAGCGCAGGCCGGCTCGTTACTTGGCGCCCGACGCGGGGGTGAGACCCTACTCGAGGCTTCAGGCTGAAGGATACAAAATGCTATCCGAACTCGAAAAGGTAATTTGATGTTTTATATGCAGTTTGTGTGTCCAGATATCTTTGGTAACTTGCTTTTGTTCAGGATAAGCCTATGTCAATAACTAATCCATAAAATGAAGCACAAAAATTTGCTGGACGAAAATCTAAATTGCATCGTTGCTGCGAAATTTAAATTCAAATCAACAAACTTTCGCATTTCTGACATTACCTAATATATCCAGAATGGATGAGGAGTTTGAATTGTATATGTAGGTAATGAAGCAATCCTCGGGACCTCGACACCTTTAAATGACAAGGTTAAAACATTAATTTTACATTTAAACATTTGGCGCGTGATGGGAACGAACCATTTGCTGCAATGCGCAATAGTTTTGTAAACAAGAAGATCTGTTATTTCTAATTTATATCTTTACGAGTATATATTATTCAATTAATTGTATGTAAAAGAATTGAAATTATACTTACATTTTATTAGGAAATCGGTATACATAAAAGCACACTGTGACCGACTTATCAACGCAAAACTCAAACCGCTGAACGGATTGGGTTAAAGTATGGCACACAGAGAGTTATTATGTCGTAGCCATTCGATAAGAATGGTTTTTTTTAAATTCAACTCCTAAAAGGGTGAAACGGGGTTTCAAAATTTGTATGGAGAAATCACATAAGAGGATATATATTATTGATTCTAAAATTCGCAGGAGTAATTCCTGTCTATAAAGTGTAAATAAATAAACACGCGCTTCGTGCATTTTAAAACACCTTTAGGGGATGAAGAAGTAAAGTCTAAAAATCAACATGGGTGTCATTTCGAAGGTTTGTCGTGACGTTGATCAAGTAAATGTCATCAATTTTTAAATTTATTACACTTCAAAGTAAAGTAAAAAAAAACCGAATTTACCATTTTGTTAATGCCTAAACTAAAACTTATCAATCAAAATCAAACTTGGCGAGAGCGAAGCCGCGGGCAAAAGATACTTATTAATTGAAAATTAACGGTGATAGAGTGATATCATCATATTATGTTTCTAAAGTAATTCTATTATATTTGTTTTCAGGGCAAGTTTGTGAGTACAGACACGTATGAAGCTCACGTGTGGGTGATCCCGGCCAAGGAAGTCGTGATGTGCACGGACAAGAGGCTGCTTTACTTGGAAAAGAATAACGTTTTCGGCGGCTGGCAGGTCGATTATAATGATATATTTGTTTTTATTTACCAAATTCCCATTCTATTTCCTTTGACTTTGCAATATCTAAGCATTCCTTTGATAATTAATTTACAATAAGACTCATTTGATATAACAATTTGATCAATTTTCGATATATCGCTATGGCAATTTGAACTCGATTATTAATTTTATTGTTTTATACGAATATGCTAATATAAAGACAATTAATACTTTAAGCTCGACTGCTAACATTACATTTTTTTGGCAGATCGTATGGACATACCTGTGGTCAGAAATCCCCGATGTGCCGACAGCAGTCGCTAAGGGCGTGTACATACCGACTGCGAAAAAGAAAGTGCTGGGAATGTTCTCTTCATCGGGCTCCGGCAAAGTGATATTCCTGTACGACGAGCAGCAGAAGAAGTATCTCCTCGCGCAGTGCCAGCGGCTGATGGCGCGTTGACATGAAATTGTAGAAAGGACGAGCCCGACCGAACGGTTGAGCGAATTCTTTCTACTTTTTTTCAATTATCGCACCGCGTTGCTTTCTCTCGCATACTACTTCAACTTGCACCACTTGAGCCCGAAGGGTTGCCGATAGCTTCAATATCTACAACCGCTCAGTTTTCCTCCAAAACAGTGAACTTTATCATCCCATATTCAATTTTGTATTGTAAGATTTATGTCGAATATAATTATTAATAATTTGAAGATTTTTGTAACAACCCTAGACGACATGCGTACTCTATTTTATACTTAACGGCAGTAGAACTTCACGTATAGAAGCTATATGGCATAGCTACGGTACGTTTTATTTTGCTTACACATGACATGACTTATTTTTATTATTTTGTTTTTATTATTTTTATTTATATACGGTACACGAATGGTACTAGATTTTATTTATATAATAATAAAATCATTTGGTATGTGTACAATACTTTCCTGTTTTTTAAAATCTCGGATTAACTTTATTGTTTCGAATAATTATACATTATTTTTATATAGTAGACACATTAAATATCATTTTGTGTGACTTTATCGTTTGTTAGTATTTTTACATTTTGATGCGTTTTGGTTAACAATTCATTTTTTTACTCATAAAAAGGATTTAAAGACACATATTTCACCTTTAGTTACACACTTCACCTTTAGTTTTAATTAAAAATATTACATAATTGAATAATACATTTTATATTACGAATCTATATTGTATATTATAGACTTACAATATAATAATTATTCAACAAATAAAAGGTAAATTGTGTATAAGATGTGAAGTAAACATGTTTATAATTTTATTGTGTTGTTATCGTCAAATTTATCTTATTAATATTATTTGAGAGAATGAGAGTACAAAGATCACCAAGTTTAGTTACAATATTCATATTAGTTAGGATGTACCAGCACCAGTGCCTTATATTATACTTTACCAGAGCGAAGTGACGTGTGCAGTGTTAAACAGTTCCGTTTTATAGACGTTTGTTATTTGAAAATTTTATATTGCGTTAACTGTTGATATAGTGCTCGCTAGGGCTGTTATGCATATTTTTAAAATACCCGACGTTCGATAATCGATATTTTAAATTGTTTAAATGTTGAATATATTTATGGAATTTTTTTATAATTTATGGAATATGTATTATATGGAAGTAATATCGATACTTCGAGTTCGGTTCGAGTACAGGTTATCCAATTAATTATATATAAATATATATATATATTTATATTTTTATATATATATAACACTTAAGTGAAAATTTATGAAATGTTTATATCATAGTTTTTACTACTTGATTAGAAAAAACAATTATGTGTACCAATATTTTCAAGTAATAAAAATAATTTATACCTTTGACCTTTTGACTACTACGATTATTCAACGTTAAAAAGTTTTAATTGTTTCAGAGGAAACCGAATATTTTAAAGCTATTTCTGGTAGCAAAAGAGCATCTATCTAGATTTTGAGCGCATTTCATGACCTTAAAAGTATATTGACCTTCGATAACTATTTCAGTATCTTGTTATTAATCAATCTGAAATAATATGACTAATTATTGATATTTCATGAACAGTCCTAGTGGTCACGTCGGGGGCAGATCTGTTTGCGCGCTTTGTGAATGAAACTTAGCATTTGTTAACATTTTTCTTCTTTTATACGATGTTTCTTTTTTGAAACATTTATGTGCTTATAAAAGGCGACTCAGGATATCATAGAATTAATTTCTGTTACTCCAGATAGTTACGAGTAGCCTGTAGCTACCAATTCTGAGCTCGCCTTCTTTCGTGTCTATTACGAGTATAAGTAAATTATAATATTTGCTTCTCGCTATATACCTACTTTATTCTAGTATATGTTTGTCTTGTTCAAGCTTATGTATTATCCTTTAAATTGATAATAAATGATTTAAAGGCAAAATATTTTTATTTATATATATCCTATTTATTATATTATTATCCAATGAACGTTCCACGGACAAGTAATTACAATGACTGATCAGTAGGAGGCAGCAGTTAACAAGTTTTACATGTTAAAGACATCCTAATGTCATTTGAGGAACTATAACGACATATAGGGGTACATTGGAATCAATAAATATTATGTCGATAGTAAACTTCTTTGGTTACTCAGTTTTCAATTGATCTGCAATTGATAGATTATCTTATTGAAGATTAGAATTGTATATATGTGAGCCAAAAATAGAAAACTGTACAGAACAAATATAACGTAATACAGAGTGGAAGAAATCGATGGGACATGGAAGAAATGTACCTTAAATATTGAAGTTATCGAGATTTACTCAAAGCAAACATTTTTTTTATTTTAAAAAATAATAATAACTGCATTTATTTATTTTTAAAAAACCTTACCTGAACCGGGAATCGAACCAAATAAAAATGCAAAAAAAGACACCGTCACTATTTTATCGAATTAATCGATAGGGTCTATGGGAAGGATAAAATCTCTCGATCAAACATTGCGTCTTAGAATTGAAGAAAACCATGAAATCTTACAAATTATACATATCGACTCTTAACATCGTGGAACAAACGCACAGGACATGTAAGAAAAGTGTCCTAAATACTGAAAATATCAAGTTTCACTCAAAGGAAATATTATTTTATTTTTAAAAATAAGTATAATTATATTTACACAGATTACTTCGCCAATATCACGTAGCTTGGAGAAGACACGAAGGAGATTGGTCGGTGTATAAAATTACAATTCGTCTTTAAAAATACTTTAAATATAATCATTCCCCTTGAGGGTAAAAATTATTAAAATTAAAAAACCCATTAAAGTCGGTTCACAATTGTCAGTTTTATTTTCATTGTCACAAAGAAGTCTTATATAATATAGAAAAATACATTCCTCTTTTTTTGAAATCGATTTGTATGCAATGTGCTTGCTTTTGAAATATGCCGCAAAGTAAGTAGTCCGAGAACAATTACAGTATTCACATTCGCCACCCCAGTGTTTTAGCTTTCAAAGTCGCTGTTCTCGACACCTTACGTAGTCTTTACAAGCCAAGTACAAACGTTTGTACTTATATATTCGTAGTAAAAGTATTTTTTTATTTAATTTGTGTTTTGTAATCTAGATTTTTGGGAGCAATACAAGCTAAAATTGAAGTTTTATTTATTTTTCTATCTGCTAAATTTCAGTTCGCTTTATATCGATGAGACATTTTTGTCGTACAGTAATTAACACATCAGTAGAGTAAATCCAAAGATACAGTTTGTGCTGTGTGCGACTAACAAAGCAAGGGAAACTTTTAGTTGTTGAGGAATAAATAGAAATGTCTATTTACACGCGCAGTAAAGTCGCGGCATTTGCTTATAGTATCATCTTTTTTGAGCGAAATCGTATCTGTAGCACTACGTACTTAGACAGAGCAGACGTTGCAACTTATATGACAAATAAAAAACAACAGATTTTTTTTAAACACGACTCTATGAAAGTTTTTATTGTACTATCGAAAAATATACTTATGACGAGAGTTGGTTTTTCACGAATTTCATTTAATATAAAAAATATCATGAGTGTTTTATGTTTTTATTGGATCAACAAAAGGGTACTTCACTACACATGAATACGTGCGATAGCAGTCCTTCGTCGGCAAGTATTGTTTGAATGTAATTTCAAAATTTGAAGGTTAAAATATCCTTGTGTTACCTATATATTATGTAATGAAATTATTTGTTTGAGAATGACAATAAACTTTTACTACGTGTAGAGTCAACTTTATATTTATGTATGATCTATAAATATGAAAGATCAATGGAAGAACGATGGATTAATAAAGAAAGTACAGAGCATAAAGAAGATGAAGAGGTAATCGAGACACGACGTGTAAAAACGTGACAGCTACTTCTATAATCTAAAATATATATCTATATTAGTTCGTTGTGAGTGTACAATAATGCTTATAATTAATTAACGAAATTAACAAAGAAATAATAGTACAGATAAATTGAAGTTTAGGCGAACGTACCAATACCTAAGGTATCTCTTTATCTCGATATATTCTATCTTCTAAAATAATATCGATTTAAATCGACATTATCTAAACACTACTATCAGGGCCGAATTAACCATGTCGGGGGTCCTCGACAGGCACTGCAATTCTCGGGGCCCCATCACTCTTTTTTATGTTGGGAAGTGCCTTTACGCTTACCACCTGTATACGTACAGGTGGTAAAGTGGGACTCACCGGCTAGAAAAACCAGTAATACCCACTAAAATCCAACAAAACCTTCCCCGTTATAATGGGACGTCACAGTATCACTTACGTACACAACCACGACGATGGTGGCCCCATGACCCATCACCCTTTTTATAACTTATTGAAATACATTTTTTTACCACAGTGCAATTATATCCGTAATTACGCAATTAGATTTCATAGTAACTCTTGTATTTGTCCTTATGGTCAATTTTTTACCTAATTTTTTAATTTTTCATATTAAATTTTCACTCGATCAAACATTTTTAATTATTTTTTCTTGGTGCGTTGGGTCTTTAGCCGATGCGGGCCTCTACGCAGCCACCGACACTGCCTTATGTATAATCCGGCCCTGACTACTATATAATACTAATTTTTGACTGTGACCTTGTGCTCGACAGGTAGGCACATAAACGTTGATATGACATTCGTTAACAACATTCTGATGTTCAACGTACCCAAGATGTAAGCGCTAAATTTCAGGATTACAATAAATAGATAACGATATAAACCAAATTCATATAAACTTACTACTCAGTGTTACAATCAAAGTGAGCTGTAAAGAGGTTTATATCCAAACAATAAAATGGATTCTAGATGATGGCTTACGTCGTCACTGTTACGATTATTTTAAGGACATTAAAATTTAAGAGATACTCATTAAACATCGAATATGAAATTGAAGCAACCTCCTTCCTTAATATATAAGGTATAATTAAAACAAATACTGTCT